CAACGACGCCGATGATGCTTGGAAGCGCATTGGACACGTAGACCGCCCCCAAACAGACGAGTGGGAGACCATGGCCAGTGTCTGGAAAGGTCGCGTCGAGTGGATTGACGAGCAGGCCGTGGAAACGGAAGATGACGAGGCTGGACGAACAGATGTCGCCGCATCAGCAGCGACCGAGAGCTTGAGACAAGCATCTGCATCCAGCACAAAAAAGATTGAGAGACTCCTCGTCGGCTGGGGCGGCACCATTTGGATCATTCACGTCCACCCTGGCAGTGTCGGCACCGGCAAGCGGGGTGGCGAAAAGTCGATCGGTCGCGCTGAGATAGCTAAGCAGTAAGTCGACCACTCAGGCCATGGTTGGTTGAGAGAGGCTAACGCGATGCAGCCTTCGTATGGATTGCATCATTTCTGGAATTTCGTTATATACCCAAAATCTTCTCCTTGTATTAGCATATGTATTACCGGATGACGACGATGACAGCGACGGCGGCGATGATGACAAGGTTGTCAAGGGCCACAAGTCCAAGATATCTTCCGCTTCGGCTGGAAGCGAGCCATCCGGCGGGATCAAGCGGCGCCAAAACAACCTCCCTCCGGAGCTCCGGCTGATCGACCTCACTTCGCAAGCCGAAATCGACAAAGATGGCCTCAGCATGAGCAGATATGAGAGGCTTATGTCGGGCGACTACCATCTTGGGGTGTTACCGGCACAAAACGCAGCTTCCGCCGTGGCCTCATCCAAGGGCGCGTTGGATGCCATTACCGGGTTTGGTTCCGACATGTGGAACGCTGCCATTAACCCAAAATCGCTGTTTAGTTCCGGCGCGAGCATCAGGAGCGGACACAGCGGAGACGGTGTGTCGAGCGCACAAGTTCCGAGCTCCGTAGGCGGCGGCCGAAAATTGGGAACACCGACAGTACACCCCAACCTCGTCAAGCCAGGGGTGAAGATCTTCATCCATAGCCCGTTCGACTTTATACTTGCAACCAAACGAGACCTTGGCGACCATCTAGGCTGGTTACTGGAGCATCAGGAGTATCAGAAGGCCTGGGAGCTACTCGACGAGCATCCAGAGATCATGGCGTCACCCCCGGAGAACCTCTACGACCTTGTCCCGGAAACTCCGGATGGGAAGCAGAGCAGTCAGGACGACCTCCTCGACGATGCCTCATCCGTAATGGGATCTACTGGGGTGGCGAGACAGCCAAACTCGTCGGCACAGAGGAAGAAGAGACACATTGGCGAGCTATGGATACGGGAGCTCATCGAAGCCGGCAATTGGACGGAGGCTGGCAAGGTCTGCGGCAAAGTACTAGGATCCTCGGACAGATGGGAGAAATGGGTCTGGACGTTTGCCGGTGCCGACAAGTTTGACCAGATCACCGACTACATCCCCTCTGAGCCAATGTACCCGCCCATTCCCGGAACCATCTACGAAGTCGTCTTGAACCACTATATCCAAGTGGACAAGCTCCGTTTTCGAGAGTTGCTCGACCGCTGGTCGACGGACCTTTTTGACATCAAGACCGTCACCACTGCTCTGGACAACCAACTCAAGTACCGCGACGTCCGCGAAGATAGCGTCGAAGGGGGGCAAAAGGGTCGGGACTGGAAGATCGTGATGGAGTCGTTGGCACGGCTACACGAGGCAAACGGCCGCTTCCGCGAGTCGCTCAAATGCTACATCAAACTCCAAGATGCGGACTCGGCCTTCCGTCTGATCCGCGAAAACCACCTCGCCGAGGCGGTGACGGACGACATTCCGGGGTTCATTGGACTGCGGGTGCCAAACGACAAGCGCGAGTTCTTGCGGGAGGCCGATTTGGAGGAGGCCACGTCAGAAGCCATTACGCTGCTCGCTGACGAAGCGCAGCACGGTCTCGTCAAACCGTCGGTCGTGGTGTCGCAGCTTCAGGCACAAAATCTACGGCTGTACCTGTTCTTCTACCTGCGTGCCCTGTACAAGGGCGAGGGGATCGAGGAGCATTCCGGCGAGACGCGAGACAGGCTGTTGATGGACAGCCAGTCACAAGTGGACGAATTCGCAGACCTTGCTGTTGAGCTTTTTGCAAAGTGGGAGCAACCGCTCCTGATGAGCTTTTTGAAGTCGTCAACTTCGTACAAGTTCGAAAAGGTGAGAAGCCATCGGCATGGGCCCTCCTTTTTCTTTTCCTTTTTTCTTTCCTGTTTCTAACAACCACAGGCTGTGCAAGAGTGCGAGAAGTACAAGTACTATGACGAGCTGGTCCATCTGTACTCCAAGACGGGGGAGATGAAGCGCGCGCTCTATCTCATTATTGATCGACTCCAAGACGTGAAGAAGGCCATCGAGTTCGCGAAGCAGCAGGACGACCCCGACCTCTGGGACGACTTGCTGGACTATAGCATGGACAAGCCGAGCTTCATCCAGGGCCTTCTCGAGGAGGTCGGAACGGCCATCAACCCCATCAAACTCGTCCGTCGCATCCCCGAGGGACTGGAGATCCAAGGGCTGAGGGAGGGGCTGAAGCACATCATGAAGGAGCACGAGATCCAGTACAGCATCAGCTTGGGCGTGGCGCGGGTGCTCCGCAGCGAAGTGGCCGCGGCGCAGAACGATCTCCGCAGCGGGCAACGGAAGGGCATCAAGTTCGAGGTTGTCGTCCAGTCGGCGGGCCACGTGGATGTGCAGGTCAAGGACGTTGTGCACCCGCCAGTCAGCGCGGAACAGATTGAGGAGAGCTTCTTCGAGGCTCCCAAAGCGGAGCAGCCGGGCCACATCCACGAGCCGCCGAAGCCAGGCCATTGCGCGCAGTGTCGCGAGTCCTTCACCGAGTATGAGATGGAGACCTTGGTGGGGTTCGCCTGCGGACACGTCTTCCACCTGTCGCATCTGCTGGAGATGCTGTTCCCCGGCAAGAGGCAAGAGGACGATTACGGGATCAACAGCGAGGAGGCGATCAACAACGGGTGCCGGGTGGGGTCCAAGGTCACACACGCCCGCCTGCTGAAGGATCGGATCCGAGAGGGGTGTCCTGTGTGCAAACACGTGGTCGAGGTGCCGACGTAAGAATAGTTGTGATATCAGTGAACAAATGCGTACGGCGGCGAAGCCATCTTTTTCCCACATCCATCCATCTTTCCTTCTCTTCTGTGTCCGTCATCAATGTACCAATCTCATCGTGTCACTGTGCTAGAATAAGTGAAGAACGTGGACCAGCCTCGCATATCAGTCGCATGCCCCGCGTGAATAGAGGTAGAGTCGCATTGCATCGGACAGGGTTGTGTCTGGTGGGAACTCTAACACCGGTCTACCTAGATTAATTGGCCAAGTACGTACCGTACAGGGCGAGGGGGGGGGGGGGGGAGCACGGACCGGCCGGTCGGTTGATCCCCCGCCACACACTGTTTGGACGACATGTCACTCATTCCCCCTTTCTTCCACCCGCTCGGAAGCTGCTGGTAACCTCGACGCATGCATTCTTCGAGAAATGGAAAAGGTCAACATCGATTCGGGGTCCTGGGATACCTCCCCGAGCCGGGCTCGAGGGAAGCCGAGCTGTGAGTTTATTTCTTTTCATCCTCGTGCCCCTACCCCTCCAACCCTTGCTGTCTTTCTGCAATACAATACGCGTTGCTTTGTGTCCGTTGGTCGGCCGGGCTGACGGCAACGCAAACTCACATATACAGCTGGGACCTGAACCGCGCGCGCTCGCCGCTCCTCCGCCTGCCTCCCGAGGTGCGCAACGCCATCTATGGGCACCTCCTCGCGGCGCGCCGGATTCACGTGCGCCTCGACCCGCGCACCTCGTCCTTCCACTGCGTCGCGCTGCGGCCCGCCGCCAACCCCTGGGCCTACAAGCGGCGCCACGTGCTCGGCCGCGGGCTGACGCTGCTCGTCCGCGTCTGCCGCCAGCTGTACCACGAGACGGAGCTGCTGCCGTACCGCGAGTGCGTCTGGAGCTGGCAGACCCCCGGGCTGATGGAGCGGTACCTGCTCACCGAGCGCCGCATGGGCGCCGCCCAGCGCCGCGCCGTCCGCGAGGTCTGCGTCCGCGGCGTGCGCGGGTTCGGGAACCTGAGCAGGCGGGTCAGGAGCGTGCTGAGCGGGCTCGAGGTCGTTTGGTTCTGGGAGGGGAGGGACCGCGCGAAGGGGAGGGCGAAGGGGCGCGCGGAGGCGGATGGGGACGGGGACGGGGAGGTGGACGGGCTCGGGGGTTGGGTTTGTGAGATTGTCGAGAGGCGGAGGGTGGAAGCCGGTGTCGGGAGGCCGAATTAATGCCGGAAGGTGTGGTGGTTTGATGACGATGCGATGAAAGACGGGAGGTACACCCTGGACGAGATACACTCGGATGAATGAAACCAGAGATGCAATCGAATTACTAAGAAATGAAGGACCCCTTGAAAGCACGCCACGCAAGTGAAGACGGCATGGGGTACATGATCAATGGCAATAGGATAAAGGCCATAGTCACAGACAACAACGGTGTTGAAAGAGCCAATTGTCATTGCGCTTGTAAATGTCATCGCGCATATGGTCATTGAGCATTCCAAGTCGCTCCCAACCGTACGACTTGACGTACATCAAGGACGTTCCGAGGCGAATGGTAGCCGTAGCCCACGTACCATTCTCCTTGGTTTTGTCATACATGCGCTGGTAGAGCGTCTCGTTGCTGACACTGTAGGCAACGGAGTTGTCGTCGTTGACGGTGCGGATCATTTTCGCGACCGGCTGTTGGGCGTTCAGAATGTCCATCATCCGGGAGCACGAAGTACCGTACCCCTAAGCAACTCTGACCTTCCGCCGACTTGTGAATCGATGCTTCTACCCTCCGCCCTCTTTCCATTCGCAATCTCGAAGCGCCGTTTCATGGGCAGCGGTCTTGGAGTACGTGGCTGCTTTCTGTCGGAAGTCCAAGTTGTGCCGTTGGGGCTTCATACATGACTGTGACATCATCCTCCCGTAGCAAATCACGCCACGACAAGCAGCGGCATTAGAGAAAAGGAAGGACACCATCTACTTGCTTGTCACCGTGCTTTTGATTGTCGTCACACTTGACATCCACGTCATATTGACAAGAATGCGTGAGCATTCAATCTGCTGCTGGGCGGGATGTGTAGCCCTGCACGGTTGAGTCGGACATGTCACTATGAACAGGGGTTCGAGGCTTGTTCCTCGTCGACCAAATTGATATGATCTGTACTGTATTTTCCAACTATGTCGATAAAAACTGCCTGTCTGACCAGGTATCCAAGTCTCTCGCCACTCATTTGCCACGTCCATCAAGGTAATATCGTCATCGTCGACTTCTTGCCTGGGCCATGGCCACCATCCTGTCAACGGCATGTCGTCGTAGATGGCGTTGAAGTTGTCCTCCAGATAGTTGCGATGCCAGAAGTAAACCCACTGTGTGGCTCTGTCCTGGTCAGCCACCTTCTTACACGCGGCAGCCCCATTCATAGTGTCCATGTTGATGTTCGTGATTGTGAAGCTTGACAAGACAGTCACCTTCTCCGGGTAGACGATGAGCTTCGCGGCCCATTGAGGGTCGTCGCTCAGGTCCGAGAGGAAAAAGGTGCGGGAGCACGACCAGCGGTCTTCATCGTTGAACCTGTCGTCGGAGAGGAGACGCCGCTCCATGTAGCCGGCCTCCCTATCCAAGTTGGCTGCGTTCCAGTGGAAACCCTCTCTCATGAGCCGTGGCAAGTCCCGAGCTTTGAACAGAAGGAAGGCTTCCCACTTAATACCGTCGCCCTCGGCTTTTCCACCGTCGGGAGAGTTGAAGATGAACAAGACTTTTACCTCGATGCCCTGCCACTCCTGCGAACCGAATTGCTGGAGGCGGTCTCGGCGTGCGGTGGGAACCTGCCGAGAGACGTCACGAGTAGTCGCCATTTTGTCAGAATGATGCGGACGAAGCGGTACTCAGGGAATGTATGCAGTGATGACTGGGTCTCAAACTTCACGATGCGTCTCGGGATTTGTTTGCGTTGGAATGAAGAAGTTGAGTGTCGGTTGTACGAGAAGGTGAGTAAGATTCTGTCTGTGTGAGAAGGGTTCCAGGGATGTTTATATGGTGTTAGCACCGACTTACTGGAGAAAGCTTGTTGTTCAGTTTGTCTTTCCTCTGTGTGTGAGCCAGGATGGACGAATAGGGTTGGAAGGACCTTTGGAAATTGAGGCTGCACCCAACTCTGAGAACCGCTGGAAGTGAATGCCGCTCCATGACAAATAAGGCCCGAAGGTGACCGTCTATCTTGGAGAAGAAGCTGAACGGCACCTGAATATCCCCATCATCTTTGCTGCTTCCCCGAGCCGGATCGATCAGTGGCGGATGGGAATAACCACAAATTCATATTGGTCGTCTCGTCGCACGCTTCTTCAATTCCCCACCGTGTCCATTTTTGCTTCTGTGTTAGCTGGAAGTAGTGCCTCATTGAAAGCCTGGTGATGGCAAAGCGATTAGTTAAGGCGATGAATCGTACGTGTAGGGCGTGGCGCTCAGAAACAGACTCGGCACATCCTGAAAAACTACTCCCTAAACGTTGAATTGAAAGTGCACTCCAATCCAGAGAAAGAAGCAACGGCATGGTCGATTTGTCTCTTGAGGTTGTTGTCACATGCAGGGGATTACCGTCTAGTTTGCAGGTAGTATTTTACATGGAGGCTTCTCAAGCAAGGTGGATGATACGACGCACGAAACCCGAGCCAAAGATGTCGCAACATCAGCCACGTGTATCTGGTGATGAACTTCATTTGGAGAGGCCACACGCGTCGGGAATCAAACCCAGTGAAAGACACTGAAATGGTTTCGGGTCGCGCCGAAGTGTCACACTCGTTTTCGCGTCGTTGCGAATCAGAATGGAACAGCAGGCTTCAGATCAACTGTGTCGCACACTGGGAAGCACAGTCACGCAATGAGAAACATCAAAACCAGAAAAGTGTGAGACGTGAAGCTCGTTTTTGTATTCCGGATCATGTGTACCAAGGCGAAAGAAAAGCCTTATCCGATTATGCCATGATTCCCAAACCGCCTATCTGAAGAAGCCTGAATCCATTCCATTCTGTGATCAATGATGCCAATCCCCCCCAATGCGCTAAGCTATGTCACTTGATGAACCCGCCAAGCAGAGAAAAGAGGCGAAGCAAGGTTGAGCAGCTCAGAGAAGCATCAGAAGCGCGATGCCGGCCCAGAAACCGTTGACATCAGACTCCATGTTGGCAGCGGCGGAAGCGCTAGGAGTCTGGACGGTGCCGGTGGACTCGTAAGACTGAGTGACCTTGGTGCCAGAGGAGGTCGCGACCTCAGAGGTCTTGGAAGTGACATGCTCAGTAACAGAGGAGGTGGTGACCTCAGAAGAGAGGGCGGAGGTGGTCTTGGAGACCGGGAACGTGGAGGTGAAGTCCATGACCTCGCAGGTCTCGGTGGTGACAGGGCGACAAACAGTGGACTGGATGACTGGGCAAACTGTCAGAGGGCTGTGCTTGTGATGAAACGAAAGTGAAAACTTACCAGCGACACCGTTGCCACCGACAGAGGTGGGAATGAGAGCGCCAGGACCCTCAAGGATAGTAGTGAGCTCGAGAGCAGGCTCAATGGGGTCTGGAAAAGTGTCAGCTCGAACCGAATCAGCAAAAGCCAGTGTGGAAAGTACTTACTGGTGTCTCCAACGTGGATGATGTCCTCATCGACAGCAGCAACGCCGGAGATGATGCCAGAGGCAATAGCAAGGAAGATGGTGGACTTCATCTTGAATGCTGAAGATTGTGAGACGAAGCAGGCCGAGATGAGAATGGGAGAGAATCAACTTACAGTGTTGGGTGGTGTGTTGTTGCTTGAGGCAGGTATTTGTGTGTAAGTTGGCTGGAATGCTGCGAAGCAAAGAGGCGAAAGCGAGATTGATGAGAGTGGGTAAAGGAGAAGAAGAGAAGAAAATGGGAGAAAGCTGGTGGGAGGAGAGGAGGTATTTATAGGAGAGAAGAAAGAAGCTGGCTGATTGTGGGATCAGCCGTGTCAGTCTCTCAAAGAGAGGCGGGCAAATCTCATTCAGCTCATCACGTCAAGAAAGTACACAACTGAAGGAAAACATAAACTGTGAATCTCAATTTTGTGATTGGCCGATTGGGGCTTGTTGCCAGGTTGACTGCCCTACGTGAGGACTTGAGAGACTGAGATGATGCGGGTGCCCTGCCTCCTTTCTTGAAGAGGCGAGAGCAGGTCACCAAGACACCTGGTGATAGTGCCGTTGAGAGAGTTGTGTGTCCTTGAGTCAAGGGTAGTGATACGCAACTCTACGGAAGAGGATGGAAGAGTAAGACAGGTTTGCGTAAATGATTCCGACTGGCGAGAGAAAAAGGGGAAGAATCACAGTGACCATCCATTCAATGAAATGGCGAGAACAGGCGTCTGTTGGGAAATGTTGCTCTTATTGAGATGCTTGTTTTTGGCAAGTAAGGTCTGGCAGGTATGAAAGCCTGTGGACATTATTTGAGTGAGTGAGAGGTACAGAAAGTGATAGCTAGATGCCTTTCTTGCTGGCAGAATCACCGTGGTCTATGAAAAGATTGATTGATTGAAAGACTTTCTGTTTGAAAGAATGCAAAAGACTAAGTTAAGTCTCTCTGAGCCATCTGATAGCCTTGATGTTGGGACGACAGTGCAGTGATATGCGTGGTGCTTTTGCGATGATTGCTTTTTGACTCGACGCAAAAGGTGGAGGTCAGTTTGGGTAGGATTATTAACGGCGTCCTCCTTGCTCTTGAAAGGCTACAGCTCACTTTGTGCACCAACGTGACTGCAGATCCATCAACACCACTTCAAAGAAGTGGAAGCACATCTAGTAATATAGCATCATATTAACACTAGGAAAGACTGTGCATAAGGCAATGAGTTTCGCAGAAGACAGTAGGAGATGACCAATATATATGAAACGTGACAGACCACAAACAACATATATCCTACTTAGGAACAGGAGGAGTTATGTACACTCTTTGACAAGCTGGCTCTGTCCTGCAAGAAAGCAGAGCTATCTGTGTTAAGCGGATTTCTATATTCCATCGAGTATAAGTAAGGTCAATGGAAGTATCAAATTTGTTGACTTTGGCCTCATCACGTCAAGGGACGGATATAATCTCACTCTTCCAAATGTGTTCATCAAACTGCTTGTACAGGACCTTTGCCTGACTAAAGTAGCTGTTAGAATACTTAAACTGAACAGTTAGGTTTCACACAATTTAGATGTATTACCCTTCTCTCTGACACGAAGGTTAGTAGATGAAATCTTAAGAAAATAGCGGAGTATTTGTTAAACAGCTAAAGTCTAGTCGTAGTAGATGCGCAATCAGAGGATAGATTGCAAATACACTGGAGGGAGAACAGGCAGAGCAGAGGTGGGGGACACAACATGGCATGTTCCCGGTATAGTAGACCACATAGCCTTAGCCCATGGCAGGTTATCGACCCGGTCACCTTTGAGTTGCTTCAGCGTCGACAACTCAGACTCGGCATACGGGACTCTGAAAGAACCCCGATAACTCCGAGCGCAATGGAAAAGATGGTAAATTCACTAAAAGGAGCTGAGAGATGCTTGGTGCTGCAGACTTTGACGGGCAGAATCAGGGAAGTTGTGTTTATGATTTCTTCCGCCAGGAGAGAAAAAGTGCAGCCATACGCTTTGCCATCCTCAAAAAAGATCCTGATATAAAAAGGAAGAAAGAAACAGGCAGAATTATCCCGAATCTCTTACCTGACCTTGTATTCTCGCCTCTTCCCATTCCATCCAGTCTCGTCCAACAAGATCACCACCGGAAAAGAGGTCTGTTTCGTCCAGGTAGATTGTAATGACCTCAACTATCATTTTAATTGCTGACAGTCTTCCAACTATCCAGTCCCAAAAATTCATACTGCCCAGAAACCATGGACCCCAATGCCGCCGCCCGTGTCGTCGGCGAGGCAGCCGACAGCAGAACCTCGGCCGGCGATCCCTTCATGAAGATGCCCGTCGAGCTTCACAAGTTCATCCTTGACGACCTCGACGACCGGCGCGACGTCTACGCCATCAGCCGGGCGTCTCCCATCATGGCCAAGACCGCCCGGGGCACCCACGGCATCCTCGAGCAGCTTCTCCAGACAGAGCTCGGCCCGGCACAACTGCGCGCGCTCCTCCCCGACGCGCTCGCCGCCCTCATGTTCCCGACCGCCCTCTGGTATCCTTCCGACGCCGCCAAGAAGGCCGCGATCCTCCAGCACCTCCGGGACTGGAAGTCGAACCGCCTCGGAGACCGCGCCAGCGACGACGACAAGGCGGCCGCGCACGTCTTCATCCATCGGCTCGCGATCCCCTTCGCCGAGGACTTCGCCGCCCTCACGGGGACCGTCGACAACGTCGACGACCAGATCCGCCTGCCCGCGTGGGCTCACGACCGACGGTCCAAAAAGGCCCCCCGGCCCGCCGCGGAGATCTGGCGCTACGAGCCCGAGGAGCGCGTCCGCCTTCTCCGGGCGTTCTGCCGCTTCGAGCTCCTGAGCAAGGTCATCCGCGCCCGCCCCGGCGCTCAGCTCTGGACCCTCGCCGAGCAGCGCCACATCTTGAACGCCTTCTTCGAGGCCTGGGAGGTGGAGGAGGTCCTCTGCGTGCAGATGTACGTCGGGGAAATGCACACCATTCTCTTCGAGACGCACGTCGTCGACGTCCTTGATACGATGTCTTCCATCTCCATCATCTCCCGCCTTCTCGACCCTGCGCGCGTTGGTCAATCCGTCCGTCTGCGCCGCGGACCGTTCGAGGACTATTACGAGGCTGATGATGACGAGACCAATGAATACAAGACTGACAAAGACGAGATCGACGAACACCACGACGAGTCCCATACCGCGTCCGCAGGTAGCGACGCCCACACGGACGGTTCCTCCGAGGTCTCTTCCTCCCCCTACGACGACGACGACGACGACGAATCCTCCGCCTCCGACTCGGCCGACGACGACGAGACGGCATGGTTCACCAAGACCGGCACCGAGCCCAACCCCGGCACCCCCTGCGCCAAGTTCGAGCTGGCCGGCCACGAGAAACACGCCACTTTCGTCAAGCAGACGGCGACCTTCGGCCTCGCCTTCCTCAAGCACTTCCTCCGCTCCGACGCGCCGACCTACAGCCGCTGGATCCGCGCCCGCGGCCGCGTTCTCCTCAACGGCATGGCGGACCCCGACGAGGCCGAGTACTTTGGCCCGCACGGTGCGCGCCGCGCCGTCGACGGCGGCGTCGCTTGGCTCTCCTTCCGCATCCTCGACCCGACCCAGCTCGACGGCGACAACGCCGCGGCCAGCCCGCCCCGGACCAACGCCGACCTCGCCTACGGCCGCACTCCCGGCGGCGCCCGCGAGGACGACGACGACGCCGCCGCCGCCGCCAATACGGCCTGGCGGCACCTCGACGCGACGAACCCGCAGCTGCGCGAGGCCTTCCGCCGCTGCGGCTGGGTCTTCTGGTCCGACGCGCGCCTCCGCCGCAACGTCTTCTGGAACCGCCGCCTCGACGTCTTCTCCCCCGGCGCCGCGCCCGGGTGGCTCCACCGCCCGGGCGGGAGGGCAGGAGACCTGGCCATCGTCACCCCCGACGAGGACGGCGACGGGGGGCGCCGCGGCGAGTACTTCCTGCCCCGGTTCGAGATCGACGCGAACATGGCGTTCGCCATCGGCGGCGCGGCGTTCGTGCTCGGCCTCAGCAGCGCGGCCGAGGCGAAGCTGCTCTCGTTCCTGGGCGAGAACCGCGTGCGCCGGGGCAGCGCGCTGTTCCGCGAGTACCCGTTCGACCGCCTCCGTCGCGAGCGGATCCCGCTCGCCGCGTGGGAGCAGTGCGTGGGCGGCGAAGACCCGGCGGTCCCCGCTGGCGCCGTTGAGGTGTTTGACGGCATCTTCTGGGGCTAAAAGGGGGGGGGGGTTCGATAAGTTCGCTTGAGAGTAATGTGTCTCTTGGTTTCTTGGTTTCGACGGGATACATGCTTTCTTTGGGGTGGATCAAGGCTATGGATGACAGACGGCGTGGAGGTTATAGTTATAGTGTTGAAGGCGGGTTTGGAAATGAGCAGAACAGCGACATCACAGAAGGACCAGAATTTGTAAGCAGAATAGCTGGTACCATCACAAGAGTTACGCGGCCCGATATCGTTTGTGTATGAGAAAGAGAGACTGGGCATTATGCCCAACAGGGTTTAATGGGGGTATCGTTGTCATTCAATCATTACCTACTCCAGTCTCTGCCCCGAATCCGGCCCAAATTTGACGTGATGGGTCTTACCCGAATATCCCGGCAACGACGGCCATGACGCCGACATAGACCCCCGATGCCAGGAGCCCCTCGGTGGCGGCGACCTTGGCAGGCCGCTCGGCGCCGCCGCTGAAGAGCCCGGCCTGCACGACGGCGGCGGCGACGCCGACGGCGACGAGAAGGACAACGGCCATGCGGCCGACGAAGCCGGGGATCACGGCGAAGGCGAGGATGGGAAGCAGGAAGGCGGCCGCGAAGGCGAGCGCGACGGTGGGGAGGAACCCGGTGAGGGCGGCGACCAGCAGGCGGCGCACGCGCTCGGCCTTGTTGCGGCCCCCCAGGTCCGCCGGGGGCAGCCGCGCCGCGCGAGGCTGCGGGGTCTTGAGGTCGTCGCTGGAGGCGCCGGGCTCGCGGGAGGAACCGGAGGACGACGGGCGGGCGAGGGAGACGAGGTCGTCGGTGGGCTCGAGGAAACGGGCCTCGATCTCGACGATGGGGTTGTGGTTGGCGAGGTAGGCGCGGTAGAAGTCGACGTCTTGGGGATCGGGCGAAGGGAGGTGCTGGGTGTCCTTGAAGGACGAGAGGACGTGGTCTGTGGCAGGTTAGGACACGCGGTTGCGGCCATCAAGAGATGAGAGTAGGGGGATGGGGGGGGGCTCACTATACTGGCTGAGCTTGTAGCCAATCTTGCCCAGCACGTCTGTCTTGTGCCATTGCAGTTCGCCGGCTGTGAGGGCGTCTTGTCTCCGGGAGGCGGGCAAGATGCAGTTCTGCATGCGTCGCGTCTGCGTGTCGGCCGTGTCAAGGCGATGGAGCTGCTCTTCCAGCTCCGCGAGCTCGTCTTGAAGGTGCAGGAGTAGACGGTGGTTGAGAGCCTCGAAGCGGCGGTAGATGGGCTTGATGCTGGACCTGTCCGAGTCGGCGGCGCACAGCTTGGAGGCGACCAGCTGGTAGCCCGTCAGCGGCAGCTTCTCAGCCCTCGGGAGGTGCTTGGGATGGCCGTGGTGAACGGCGGGGAGGCGCGGCTGGAGGGCGTTCGGGGGGAGATGAGGGAAGTTGGCGGTGCCCCGCGGCATCTCGGGGGTGCCGTAGCTGCGATAATCTTGCTGATGCTGGGCGGTGGGCATTTGCACCTCGAACTTGCCGGGCATCGACGGCGAGTCGCCGTAGGCGCTCTGGTCCGGGCTGCTGCTCCGGTCGGTCTCATGGTCGCCAGTCATTTCGGAAAAGACATCGGACTGGAAGCTGCTCGAGGCGGTTGAGCTGGTGCTCCTTGTCGACGGCGACTGGAAGCTCGAGGCGTCGGGCATCCTCCAGTACGATGACTGCTCGACGGAGCGCTGGATGGCCTCTGGGGTCACGCCGGGGGAGTCTGGCTCCAGGTAGTTGAGGACGCTGGATAGCGGCTGCGCCTTGGGCGAACGACTCTGCTTGCGTCCTTTGGAGTAGTGGTAGGACTTGTCTTGAGCCCTCGACCTGTCGCTTCCTCGTCGCCTCGGCCACGACGCCTGGGTAATGGTTGAGCCGCTGCCGCTGGAGCCGCTAGATGCGTGAGTCCTACCCGTGAGAGAGGAAAAGCCGGTCAAGGTAGACCCGGCAGGCGAAGTTGGAAGATGGGTCTGTTGGACAATGTCATCAGTGTCGGCGGGGACGATTGTCTCGTCTGAGGAGGACTCGGGGTCCGCGACGGCTACCTCGTCAAGCGTGCTCTGGTTCGAGTCCATGGTAGAGATGCGACGTCGGGTTGGCGAGTCTGGGCCAGAGACGGGCAGAGACGAGTGCCTCCGGACGGTGGCGCTCCTCTGGCGAGAGCGCGGATTTCCAGGCGTTGACGTGTCATGGGGCGACATGTGATGCCCCTCGTGCGCGGGCTTATCGCTGGCGTCGCGAGCAGACGTGGATGAGGGGAACGGCGGCGGGAGTCCGTCGCTCGGGGCCACGGCTAGCCAGCCTTGGGTTGGGCTTGGTGCGTCGTCCGTGTAGCCAGCGTGGACATCGTCCACGGACGGAGGACGGTAGACCGACGACATCGGTTGTCGGAGGGGTTGGCCTGGATTATGGATCAAGAGCGCAAGGCACGAACCAGCTGGCGAGTATATCTCAGCTTAAGCTTAAAGAGTTGGCGAACGGAAAAGTTGGATCTCGCTCGATCTGGGTGAGACGAGGAGAGGAGGGCGACTTGTGTACAGCGAGGGAGGATTGTCTCAGAGTAGCAGACCTAGGGCTTTCAGCGAATCGCACAAGAGGCAGCCCAGATCTTTATTCAATATACGGCAAGTGAAAGCCGAGTAATAGGTGGTACGGCAGAGTGCGAATCAGCGGAGAGACAAGGTTCCTGGGAAAGATACGGATAGGTAGAATAGGGGATCTCAAAGGGTGATCGGGATCAGGGTGAGAGAGGATTGCCGAGAGGGTGAGATGACGGGAGGAGCGGGTTCAAGTGAGGAGAAGCGGCGATAGCATCCCAGGATGAGGCTTGGATCGACAACAAAGCGGACTTGAGCAATACGGTCCTTATTTTTTCCCCCCGGTGGCAGATGAAAAGAAAGCATTACGTGGAGATGTCGCATCACGGAGGTGGAGAGAAATGCCGTACGTAGCTGCAAAAAGGCTTGAAAAAAAATGAAAAAAATAAAACAACAACAAAAAAGCTACAGGGGGAAAGACAGCATAGAGGAGCCGTATGATCAGGACTTGCGTGTGTCAGCCGTAGACGGGTTTGTTTCAGATGACCAGCAAGACCGGCCCAGCGTGATGGGGGGTATGACGGGGGCGACGGTGTGTGGTGCTCCTTTAGTCGAGCTGAATTTGGTGGTGTGGTGTAGGTGGTGTGGTGTGGTGAGGTGTGTAGCAGCGATGAGAAGTGATGATGGATCATCTTAGTATATACACTAGATAATCGACGTGTACGACCACACCACAACGTGTAGAGGAATAGGAATGAGAGTTGAGATGGATGGGTGCATCATGATGATACCGGCCTACCTACATTGTGCCGGGCAGTGTAGGTTGTGTCCGTAGTGTACATCTGCATGCATGTAAAAAGGGTACACGTGCCGTACAAGTGCCAAAGCCTACCGGGACGTCCCTTGGTGGGATCCGGGGGTTGGAATAAAGAACAAAACGGGGGGGGGCTGCAGGCAACTTTTGACGAGAAGGGGACAAATTGAATGAATCGGATGAATCAACAGGGCAGCGAAGAATGCCGTTGCATGATGGGTATGAACGAGCCAGTTTCGCGGAGCTGTTTCCCCCCAACTCCGGCGGCCCATGCCTACATTACATGACATTGCACTACATGACATCCCATGTAGAGCACCTGTAGAGCACCTGTAGAGCACATGTAGAGCACATGTAGAGCCCATGTATCCGTACCCCGGCGGCTACTCCGCCGCGCTGCGTGTCATTCCCGGCGCATGTGCGCGTGCCATATTCCTGCTTCTTCGTCCCAAGGGATGGATGCTCTGCAGCACCATTACATAATCGTCTTGTCCACCATCAGACATACCTGTACCTGCTAGGTACCGGTAGATATGTACGTACCTAGGCACTTACTAGTAGGTACGTACTCAAGTGCCTGGGTACCGTAGTTTAAACGACGGAAGCTGGTATGGCCTGGAAGCAACGGTACGTACTCTTCCTGTAAACCCCCAGCTTTTCCGTCAATTTTCATGCAACGCCGAGTACCAAGCAGCTCTGAAGCTATATTCCACAGCTTAAGTGCCAACTCTACCTAGCTCCGCGCTCCATTAACCCATTCACTCGGCAAACCAAACTCTTACAGAAAGACCACCTCGCCTTGTCGATCAATCACCAACTTGCAGAGCTTGAACGCCCGCATCCCGTACCTCCGACCGCCACCCACTCCTCCAATTGCGCTTGGCCGTGGGCCTCGAGCCACTGGTTGACGAACACATTGCGACGCGCAGAGACAGAGAGAGAGAAAGAGGGTGTGCTACATACATGCCCAACGACCAGTCAGCCAACGTGTCTATCCGATCCCGCCAAAGTGGCGCTCCTGTCACACCACGACCTTACCTCACCTCACGACAGCTCGACAACACCTCTACAGAACGTGCCGCATCCCCTCACCCGTCGTACCTCAAACCGATACTTGCATCCTTGGTCCCTATGCCAAAATGACGCGCATCCCGACCCGCGAACTGTCCCGCTACCTGTTGAGTGGCCAGCTCTCTCGCCACGGCTGCCTGACCGCGGCAAGAACACCATACTCCCGTTTGCCGGCTCGTCCCGTACCGGCATGGTCGCCTGTCGCACCCCTACGAGAGCCGAGAGCAACGTATGCGACCGTCCAGGCCGCCGCGACACCTGCCGAAGCACCACCGGTGCCCCTCCGGAAGAAGCTCAAGGAAGAAAAGAAGCAGCTTAAAAAGGAGGCGAGAAGCCAAAAGCCCAAGGGGAGCAACCAGACCGTCGAGGGCTGGGAGTTGACCGTCGGTATCGAGATCCACGCCCAGCTGAACACGGCCCGGAAGCTCTTCTCCCCGGCCGCCACCTCTTTCAACGACGACCCGAACTCGCACGTGGCCCTCTTCGATGTCGCCGTGCCCGGTAGCCAGCCGACGTTCCAGAAGGAGACCCTCATCCCGGCCCTGCGCGCCGCGTGTGCTTTGAACTGCGACATCCAGCCCGTCAGTCGCTTTGACAGGAAACACTACTTTTGGTGGGACCAGCCCTCGGGCTACCAGATCACCCAGTACTACGAGCCCTTCGCCCGCAACGGCCGGATCGAGCTCACCGCCCGCGATGGCATCGCCGCCGAGGACGGACAAGGCGTCACCATCGGCATCCAGCAGATCCAGATGGAGCAGGACACCGCAAAGACCCTCGCCCAGCCCAACGACATCTCCTGGCTCGACTTCAACCGTGTGGGCGTGCCCCTGATCGAGATCATCACCAAGCCCGAGCTGCACCACCCCCGCACCGCCGCCGCCTTTGTCCGCAAGGTCCAGGTCCTGCTCAACGCCGTCGACGCCTGCGTGTCGGGCATGGAGACGGGCGGTCTGCGTGCCGACGTCAACGTCTCGGTCCGCAGGACGGGCGACCCCAGCACCCCGCTGGGCACGCGAACCGAGATCAAGAACCTGAGCACCATCAAGGCCGTCGAGGACGCCATCATTGCCGAGCGCGACCGCCAGATCGCGGCGCTCGAGGCCGGGGACACGGTCGCCAGCGAGACCCGCGGCTGGACCCTGGGCTCCAAGCACACGCGCAGGCTGCGGGGCAAGGAGGGCGAGGTCGACTACCGCTACATGCCCGACCCCGACCTCGGCGCCCTGGTGATTGGCGAGGACCTCGTGAACCACATCAGGGAGTCCGTCAAGGAGCTGCCGGACGCCGAGCTGACGGAGCTGATCCAGGACTACGACCTGACGGCCAAGGACGCGCTCTCGCTCATGTCGCTGGACAACGGCGGCAGGCTCGAGTACTTTTACAAGGTCGTGGCCGAGCTCGGGGAAGCCCTGGCCGAGTCGGGCCGCGAGTCCGACCTGCGCACTCACGCGCCCCTCGTCGGCAACTGGATTCTCCATGAGCTCGGTCGGCTGACCACGGACAAGGCGGACCCGGGATCGGCCCAGCAGTGGACGCTGGAGATCACGCCCGAGGGCCGGTGCGACGCCGTGCCGCCCGCCGCCCTCGCCCGCATCCTCCTGCACCTGCAGAAGCGCGAAATCACCGGCAAGGTCGCCAAGGAGCTCCTGGTGGCGCAGTACCTGGGCAGCCTCGACGAGTTCGCCTCCGTCACGGACGCCATCGCCGCCCACGGGCTGTGGTTCCGGGAGATGTCCGAGTCCGAGTACCGGCAGCTCGCCGAGAGCGCCATCGAGGGCGAGGACAAGGTGCTCAGGGAGTTCCGGGATAAGAAGGACAAGAAGAACTACCCGCAGGGCAAGCTCATGTACCTCGTCGGCAAGATGATGCGCATCGGCGAGACGGAACGGATCGACCCGTCAGGCGCGGAGAAGGTCATGCGTCGGCTCATAGAGGAGCGGACGAGCGCGCACCAGGAATAAGTCGCTCTGTTGGTTTCATATTACAGAGGGGGGGGGGAGAGAAACACTAAACAAAAAGCTAGGAATCTAAGCCCCGTATACGTGCATCTCGACGCACACTTTATTGTACAAATGTATCATAACATCGTGTCAAGCTCGGTAATACGAGCGCAGGGCTTGTGTTGTTACCTCTTTCCCGGGGAGGCGGGGGGGGGGGGGGGGGGGGGCCTCCCCTCTTACTTCCAACCCACCTTGTGCTGCCTACTTTGCGCCCGGTGCAGGCCGCACGTCCAGCTTGGCCGGCATAAAGCCGAAATTGATATTCTCCCTCTCCCGCAGGAACCGCTCGATGCGCTCCTCCCGCCCCTTGCCGGCCGTGGCCTCGCCCTGCCTCCGCAGGGCCTCGGCGATGTGGGCCTCGTGGGCGTCCTTCCTCTCGAGGATGTGGGCCGACGAGTTCTCCATGCGCGTCGTCTGGGCGACGGTGCCGACGGCGAGGGCGGCGATGACGAGGGCAGCAAAGCTCGCGTTGGACATGTACAGCGGGGCCTGGCGGTCGGCGCCGCCGTTGGCGCGGCGGTGGTGCCAGCGCTCCCAGTCCTCCCAGGTGGCATTGGCAGAGGGGTTGCCGCCGGCGCGGCGCCACGCCTTGTCGGCCTCGCGGTAGACCTCGTGGATATCGCGGGGGTCACCGGCAGGGCCAGCGGCGGCGCCGGGAATCTGCCAGTGGGCGCCGAAGGCGTCGTAGGCGCGGCGCTTGTCGGGGGAGCTGAGGATCTCGTTGGCGAGGACGACGAGGCGGTAGCGCTCGAGGCGGGTGTGGGCGGGGAGCGAGTCGAGGGCGGAGGCGTGGTGCTTGTCCGGGTGGTACTGCTTCACGAGCTCGGCGAAGCGGGACTTTGTGTAGGGGGCGGCCTTGTCAATGTCGAAGATGTCGTAGGGGGTGGGGTTCGCGCAGGCCGGCCAGGAGGGAGGGCCGCCGGACTTGCCGGGACCCTTTGCCGTTTTTGCGGAATCGTTCAGGGGATGGTGGGCGTCGTTGCGGTCGACCGTCGCGTAGCATCGAGAGTTTGTTTGCTTCAGAACGGGGATGGACGGCGGTGGACGTGGTCTGGGTGGTGACGTTATCGATGTGTGGTGTGCGGGGACGGCGAAGAGGCTCAGGACGTTGTTGCTCGAGCAAGCGGCGAATGCCTTTGGCGTCTTGGAAACCATGGCGAAGCGGGAGATGATTCTGGCCCCCCTGGACCGGAAGAGAGAGAAAAAAAAAAGGAAAGAAAAGTCCGAGTCTCAAGGAGGTTGGAGATCGAGGTCGAGAGAGGGCATCTCGACCTCGGAGTTGGATCAGCTAGTGCGTGGTTGATGTTGGTAAGAAGGTGTCCAGAGGCCGATGGTTCGACTGTTGCCGCATTGGGTCAGTGCGTGCGTGCCCTTACCTCTGAAGGAGCCACCAGCAGCAGTAGCAGCTGCTATATACAGTATGATGAGTGTGGGTCAAGCGAGATTCTATTACGTCAGCAATGAGCATTTACCCAGACACCAGGCCGTAAACGTTCACCTCTCACCTCCTCTACAAAGCTACAAGTACATAGCCCCGACAGTATGTTTAGACCGTCACTTGGGCCAATCGGTTGGGAAGAGGGCTCTGTCTGGGGTGGCCTCGGTGAAGAGCAAATGGAAATGGAGGGAGAGAGAAAAATGAGGGGGAAGCTCTCGGTGAGGGGGCCACGGGCGACATGTCACCCGATGGTCCAAGACCTAGGTACCCTGAAAAGACACTTATTGCGTACGGTGAAGGTAGTTTTGACCACCTCGATTCTTCGTATCGCGGGCTTTGACACCAAGAAAGAGTCGGAACCGAGCTTAAAATATGCTTTTCACATTTTCTTTTTTTTTGAAAAATAAAAAATAAAATAAAATAATACTTCTGTAGTATTCGTACAAAAGCTGCCATTCTTGCAAAAGCGAGTGGCACCCAGCACGATGGTCACGTGGTCCCGCTAAAGACGCTAAACAGGGGTAGGAGGCCCGCCCGAAAGGCACAGCTGAGGCGCACCGAACGCACTGCGTCGTCGATTCAGCATAGCAAACTTGCTTCTTCTTCGCACTCCTCCACAACACACACACAAACCACACACCTCCCCTCAAACCCACGCAAACTCAACCATCCCACAACCTCTTGCGCTACGCCTCGTGGACGAAACGCATTTCCCCCCCCTCTCGCTGTTTCACTATCCCGAGTCACCAAACGACCATCACAGGATTCTCCGAAATCGCGCATCCACGATCCATTTTCCCTCACCCATCCGTCCCACCGCCTTGCTCGGCTGCACCGCAAACTCGTAGAGTCCGGCCTAGAAACCCACAACCTCTTTCTCTCTCTCCGGACACGGAACCCAGCGACGAAACCACGAAGTAGCCTTCTCTCACCCGCTGCGCTGGCACCTTGCGAACAACACTCTTCCTCGAGCGACAACTGCCCTTTATTTTTGTCGCCGGAAACCCAACCCTCGTCTGCCCTTCATAATTCCTGCCGAGCACTACGACTCGTCCGCCCCTCGAACCCCGATTCACCGCCAAGTGGGGAAAAGCAAAAGCCCTTTTCGCGCGCAACCAACCTGTCACCGGCAGCATCGCCTCCTCCCCCCCGTTCTTTCTCCTGCCCTTAGGCACATACTCCCAATACACATATTCAAATGGCGGAAGCACTCGCAGACAAGCTCAAGGCGACGAACCTGAGGTTCGCCCTCCTTCCTCCCCCGTGAACCCCCTGGCCAAGAGCTGGTTAGACTGACTGTTGCAGCGATGGCGCCGCGTCAGAAGACTGGAAGAAGAGCTTGAAGCTGCCTGCCAAGGACAACAGACAACAAACCGAGGTATGTGTCCCGCCCTGGTCCCCGCTGGCTTCTGCGACCGCTGCTACCCCCCTCGGCTCATTCGCCCGCATGCTGACACCACCTCCCCGCCCAGGATGTCACAAACACCAAGGGTCTGGAGTTTGAAAATTTCCAATTGAAGAGAGACTTGTTGATGGGTATTTTCGAGGCTGGATTCGAGAAGCCGTCGCCAATTCAGGAAGAAGCCATCCCCGTTGCCTTGACCGGACGTGATATCCTCGCTCGCGCCAAGAACGGTACCGGCAAGACCGCCGCCTTCGTCATCCCCGCCCTCGAAAAGATCAACCCCAAGGTTTCCAAGATCCAAGCCCTCATCCTCGTCCCCACCCGTGAGCTCGCCATGCAAACATCACAGGTCTGCAAAACTCTCGGTAAACACCTCGGTATTAACGTCATGGTCACCACCGGAGGCACCGGTCTTCGCGACGATATTATCCGTCTCCAGGATCCCGTCCACATCGTTGTCGGTACCCCTGGCAGAATCCTCGATCTTGCCGGCAAGAACGTTGCCGACCTCAGCGAATGCTCCATGTTCATCATGGATGAGGCTGACAAGCTTCTCTCCATCGAGTTCACACCCGTTATCGAGCAACTCCTCCAGTTCCACCCCAAGGACCGTCAGGTTATGCTCTTCTCCGCCACCTTCCCACTTTCCGTCAAAGACTTCTCCGACAAAAACATGGTCAGCCCCTACGAGATCAACCTCATGGACGAGCTCACCCTCCGCGGCATCACCCAATACTACGCCTTTGTCGAGGAGAAACAAAAGGTTCACTGCCTAAACACCCTCTTCTCCAAGCTGCAAATCAACCAGTCCATCATCTTCTGCAACTCGACCAACCGAGTCGAGCTGCTGGCCAAAAAGATCACCGAGCTGGGCTACTCTTGCTTCTACAGTCACGCCAAGATGGCCCAGCAGGCGAGAAATCGTGTCTTCCACGACTTCCGCAACGGTGTCTGCAGAAACCTCGTCTGCTCCGACCTCCTCACCCGTGGTATCGACATCCAGGCCGTCAACGTCGTCATCAACTTTGACTTCCCCAAGAACGCCGAGACGTACCTGCATCGCATTGGTCGATCCGGTCGTTACGGCCACTTGGGTCTGGCCATCAACCTGATCAACTGGGACGATAGGTTCAACCTATACAACATTGAGAAGGATCTTGGAACCGAGATCCAGCCCATTCCCGCCAGCATCGACAAGTCCCTCTACGTCTACGAGAACCCCGAGTCCATCCCGAGGCCGGTGTCCAACTTCAAGACTAGCCAGCCCGGTCGGGGGGAGCAGCAGCAACAGCAACAACAGCAACAGCAGCAGCCCGTGCAGGGTCAACAGCCCCTTCTCCAGGGCGGCCCGGCCCCTGGCAACTGGCAGACCCAGCAGCCCCAGCAGAGCAACCAGCAGAACGGTTATCAGGGCGGCGGCAGAGGCCGTGGACGTGGCCGTGGCGGCTACCGTGGTCAGAACCGCGGCGGCTACGGCGGCGGTGGTCGGGGACGCAGCCAAGGCCAGGGTCACCCCCAGCCCCAAGGACAAATGTCCTAGGGCCGCTCACTCATCTCCTCTTTATAGAAAGGCGTTCTGGCGTAAGCATCGCGGTGGAACACGCGACTGCGTCTTCTTTGGATTGTACATAGTTCCCATCTTTCTCTTCTTTGGTTTTCTGGAGGCGACACAGCACGATTAGACTGGGTCGGGGCATCTCATCCATGCACTCTCACACAACATACACACAACACACACACACACGCGCATGAGATCTTGGGTTTTCTCCCACCACTCACGATCACGAAACACGAAAAACCACTCAATCGGACCTACGACTTGTCAGCAAGCAACGAAAAGCTTCGTTAGATATTCGCAAACTTCGGCCTGTACCATACCCATATCGGATCTTACTGGTCTTTCTGTTTGACTTCTTTTTCTTTTTCTTTTCCCCTTCGGCCTTCTTGAAAACAGGCAGCTTCTCCCCCAGCTGGTGGAATACATGCTGTCCGGATCAACGGGCCGACGGGTCCAATCATTGAAAAGGACGACATTCCATGAACCGCAAAGGTGCTGCTGCGCCTGGTCTCGAGACGAGACACGGTTACCATGCCTTGCATGGTCACAACCCGATCCAATCTTATCATGCTACCTTGCTTCTTTCTAACGACGGCGTTTGGGGGTTTGGGTCAACAAGCGGCTGAACGGCATCGGCCCGCAGCGGCGTTCGCATGGGAGAAGGCCACATTTGATTTCTTGGCGGACAAAAGGAGGGGGTGGTGCCGGCCCTCGCGATCGAGGGCGGCAGCACTACGGACTGGGCGATTGGTCCGGGTCGGTAGCGCATCTCTGGTTTGAGCGCCGCGGTGTGTTTTGAGTATTAATCAATCAATCGCGGAGACGACTGATGTTGGTATATGACACGGAGGGCGACGGGGTGGCTGGCATCCAACGGCGTGTGTAGGGGCATGGTTCTGATCATCATGCGTTTTCTTTGGCAGGGGGGAGATTTGGTTGGAAGGCCCCTCCGTCCGGGATAGGAGGAGGAAGAGCGAGCGATTTGTCGTCGGTCGACAACACACCCAAGATATTGCTTCTTGGTGCCCGAGCACACACATACACTCTGACGGAGGTTTCGACATGATCCGTTCACGCACTCTACGCCTATGCCCTGCTACTTGTCGCGAGAGCAGGCTCGATAAACGACCGCAGAAATACCCGAGTATCATTATGCCCTTTGTTGGCCTTTTTTGGGCCTGGCTGGCCAGCCTCTTCCGAGAGTTCCCGGACCCTTTGCGAGGGCGACCCACTGGGGGATAGCCGGGAGTGTAGCGGAGCAGTTCTGGCTGGCGGAGGGCAGAATGGCCTTCTTTTGGCACTCACATCAACAAGAAAAAGAACACAGAAAAAAAAAACCCTTTTGGGAGAGGATCGCTGGATGGACTGGATGGCTTTCGGACCGGTTCGGTCATACGTCTGACATGGCTTACGGGCCTGTTTATTGGACCGGAACTGGTGGGCTAGATAGGTGTCTGGGCAAAAGACGTGGCAATCAAGTCACAATTCTCTCTCATATCCTGGTTTCCTGTTGTGACACGACGCCTTGTTGCAGTCGTCGACACTGGTCGTGCTGAGACGGCGCTACTCTTGGCAGAGGCTTGCCACGACGATTTCCTCCTCCATCGTCTTAGGACATTGGCCAAGTCTGACATGCTTGTTGGATCGCAGCGGCGGACGATCGGTTTGACTTGGGGCTCGACTGTGACTTTGTTCGACGGCGGCACGTCCCAGCAACGCTTACCCTTTTGCGGTGCCAGAGCCTTCATGATGACCGTGAGAGCTCTTACATGCCACTACCCCTTATGACGGTGTTGAGAAGGTATGGGAGCGAGCTAACTCTTGTATATATCTCATGGTGACTTATATAGCATCACGACATAGATGCAGCCTTGGAGCGCCCCTCGACCCTTGCCCCGTCGCAGGAGCAGTAGCAGCATGCACGGTACCCATTGTCTATGTGTAAAGAATGACTAAAGGGGTTTGGAATGCATTCATATCCCCGGAATGCCTTGATGTTCAACTACAGCATCGTCTTCCTTCGGGCGTGAGGGATACCAGTCTGTTTGCCTATGCAATGGGAACACCCCATGGACCAAAGCAAGTGCGAGAATATTCTATAGCCCAGGAAAATAACTTACTACATTTGACATTCATGTGCTCTAACCTGATACTTAAACGCGTAACGCAAGTATCAAATCCCACTAACTAGTCAACCCAAAGAGAGTAGGAGGCTAGCTATTAACCAAGACAACTGAGGGACACTAATTCTATCAGCACCAACCACCTGCGTCGCCAAATTTAAGTCGGATATGTCTGAGTGCCCCTTCGACGACGTCCACAGCCCCTGGTGATAACGTTTGAGAGGATGTTCAATGATAATAGTCTACAAGCCATTGATGAACACAGGCACTGGGCGGGGTGGCACCGGGGAAAATTGGTTATTCTGGGTGTATATAGTGAAAGTGTAGACTAAAGATATTCTCGCCCCAGAACAACAATAGGTTTGGACCCTTGGAATAAGACCCCAATGCACTGACTACACAAAGGTTCTGCTAGGCGTGATATGATACGAATCAGCCGTGTATAATCAACGGTCCATCTTTCTGCCCCATACCAATCCTCAATAGAGACGGTTTCTAGCTAGACGCTCAAGGCTTCTCACAACGAATACATATGAGCCTTGCATCAGCACCTAACGGGAGCTGCTCACAGCAAGGGGTGCTTCCACGCTGCTGATCCTTGCCTATGTAATCCGCGATCGCCTTCGAAGCTGCTATATGTCCCTTCTCATGGGCATATTCAACCGCCGACCGACCGTGGAAGAAAGCATTCAAACGGGGTTTTCTCGAGAAGCAGGAAAACGACGTCCCAGTCGCAGTGCTGGAGCGCGGCGGTCAAGAGACCGGCCGTGACTAGGATGCTGCGCGGACGCTGGATGGAGAGAAACTCAGTAACGTCGAGTCCGGCATCCCGAAAGATATCCCGTGGGCTGTCTGGTTTCGGTACAACGACGCCGCGTTTCCTCGTTACACTGATCAGCCTTGCTGAACCATACAAACGCGCGCAAGCGCCCACAACTTTCAGCGTCGATGTCTCGGTGACGCGGTTGACGAGCCCCGTGCACAATTTCTCGTTTCTGTTCTCGAGGTGAACAAGGATAGCCATGCTGTTGAGCTGCTCTACGCGCATGGCGAGATCTTTGGTGCTTACTATTCCCGAACCCGGCATCTTGGTCAGGTCGTGGCGGAATAAGAACTCGGAGATTTTCCTTGTCGGCTCCTGCGCCGGCATCGAGTAGTCGGGCGTCAGGACGTCTGGACCGCTCGCGTCCGCCGAAATCCCGCACAGGGCATAGATGACATCCCTCGGCTCCATGATCTTGCTGTGCCTGAAGTGTCGCAAGAGCTTGAAGAGGTCGCAACGGCCGGCCCACCTGGTCGTCGAAGTCTCTGCATATATCTCCCTAGTGGGCGTCTCTCGGGTGCTGGTCACCGCACGGGTGCTTTCTAGCTTCGTCCTCTAGCCATCCGAAGGTCTCCAACAGGGAATCCGTGTCTTCGGTTGCCGGGCCCAGCCAGATGAGGACCTGGTCGGCTTTTTGGTATATATCGCCCCATCTGTCGTTCCTGATGGCCCCGCTCTCTCAAAGTCGTTTAGTCGATGCAAATAGCGTCAATCCACAAGATTCTGTCCCGGTCTTGTTGGCGGAGGCGGAAAAGCGCTTCATGCAAGTTCTCCGTGACTGGCAGTCTCTTTTCGTTGACACAGACTTCTTGCGTGAGCTCGTGGTTCCCATGTGTAGGACAGAGCTTCGTAGGGGACACCGCAGCCGCGCTCGTCTAGGAAGACCTCGCAGACTATCGCGCTGTATCTCCATTTTGCCAGACGCAAGAGCCGAATGGCAAGCCGTTCGAGGTCCAGTCTGTCGTGCTGATAGAATTCCATATTGTAATTCAAATTCTACCGACGGGGGGGGGGTCGATGTATTAGTGAAAGTAGGCGTATCAAAGTTCGCATGTTGTGGCGAGTATATATATTCCAAACGTCAGTGTTTATTGCCAATGGAGACAAACAAGGCTCATTCTTCCCCCTTCCAGACTTCTTTCTGATGCGACAAAGACACGGCTACTATAAGGCATGGAAGCTGACAAAACATCAATCTAGTGTGATTGACCAGCACTGATGATCACATGGGTGAAGTCAAACACAAACACAATAACTGCCCTCAACAATTTGATGAGAAACTTATGTAACTGAAGTCACAAGGCAATTATGCTTCAGTGTCGCTTAGCATGGCTTGTACTATGTGGACCTATAGTTGCCACTGCTACAATTGCACTCAAGAGGTACTATCACGACATAATACTGATATCATGTTCCTCATTGAGATTATGTTCCTCATTGATGCCCTGGATGTTCTGGTCATCAATACTTATTGAAAGATGTTTTTGTTGATGGGAGTCTCTATAGTAAACTTCCACTTAGACCTCTTCCACAATATCTTCCGAGGGACTTTGACAACTCAGTCCAAACATTCAAGGAACTAGTTTTCAAGACTTGCTTAGAGTACAGCAGAACATTGAAGTCTGTAATCAAAGATAGGTGAATCAGTCGAACTGCCACAATATGAATTTCAACATACCCGTTTTGCAAAACTATTATGATCCGCTTTATCTTGATCACGGTGCCTTCATGCAGTTCATCTCACCCAGAAACTCATCCTCAATTGTGCGTTCCGCCTCTCATGGCCCTTTCCATTTTGGGTTCACAGCTCAGTGCCCGGTTCATACTTCGTGGCCTCAATACCCATATCTAGATATGTCCCATGAAACAGAACATCGAAACAAAAACTCCATTTTCCAATTTATCCCCTCCTTTCCTTTTGCCCCCATCGCCAGTGTAAGCGGTGAGGTTGCGCTCTCTCCTCGAAAAAAGATACCTAGTTTTATCCGGGTAAGTTGATCAAATTCTCTTGCATCCTGTACAAATTGTTCTCTACGTCTACGGCATTTCTATTTTCCTCAGCTCAACCTTGGACTACCTCCTTATCACTTGGCACCACTCGAAGTATTTTACAATATCCTGGTGGCTTTCATCAAGAGGGAATTCGGACTGACACGTCGACAGCTTGGAACCATCGCTCTGCCACTGCTGCATAACTATAATTGCTTCCCGGTGAGTTTACAAACAGACCATCGTCGACTGTACTTTCCCTGCCTCCACGCCTCAGTTCCAAGAACCTCGTTGTTCGTCGACTTCACAAGCCCTGTTTCCGTCTTCCAACACGAAAATCACCATTTCAATCACCTGTCTCTTCGCCACATCAGGTTCTGAGTTTCTTCCACCAACGCTCCTCCTCACCTTCCTGCAAGAAACGCCAGGTGCCCAAGACTGAACTCTGTGACTTCGTTGGAACCAAAATTCTTTGGAGGAAGGAATCAAGAAGGCAGGCTCTCTTCGTACGGTACCTTCTGTCGAATCCCCGGCCTTCACTCTCCTTCTATATTTCGTTCCTACTTCAAATACCCAATCTCAGTCTGTCTGACTTGTTGCATCATTCTAGTATCAATCACTCCTCGACTCTCTCACTCTCTCTCACACACGATGGCTCCTCAAATCTGCCGCAAGGGCCCAGGCGCCAAGATGACTATGACCACCAAAGCCAACATCCGTGTTCAGGGAAAAGCCGGCATTCAGAAGCCCACTGCTTCCAAAGTCACCAAGAACAAAAAGGCTGCCGAGGCCGGTTCGAAGAAAAACAAGTCTGACACCTTCCACCCTTTCGGAACCAGGCTTCCCCGCGAGCTCGCAGCCATGATCATCGAGGAGGCGGCCGACTGCGGTCCTGCCATTGCTTACGCTGATTGCAAGATGGACAAGAACAACTCTCTGGGACTCGTTTTGACCAACGGAAAAGATGGCAGCGGATCCAAGTTCAAGGAGTTGATCCGTCTGGCCAAGCTGCTCCCCGACTTCCGGTCCATCATTGAGCGCCGCTTTGGACAGCCCTTGGACGAGAAGGTCGCGAGGAATCCGAGACTCGGTATCCGCAAGGAGAAAGACCTGATGGTCTTCAATTTCGAGAAGAATAATGAACGTGGGATTCACTTATGGAACTGGATGACTATGGAAATTTCAAACAGTCGCCCCGAGCTCGCTCCGGGTATTCGCAACGTGGGCGTTCGGTTCAACCACACCAAATGTGATGGTATTGCCATCTGCTACGGTTGCGCAGCTTGTCTCAAGGTCATTTCCGGGAAGATGACCTGCGCGTTGATGCTTGCCTCCTTCTGCAAGAATCTGTCTGACGCCGACAACATCTTCATTCTTGTCCTCTTGAGTGGCACAGATGTTGTGGGTAACAACGTCAACAAGCACGCGAGCCTGATGAAGGCTCTGATTGGTATGTTTACAAGTCCTCGCAATCTGCGACCCGACTTCGTGTGCGATTTACTGACGCCAACCATTCAGCCGACTCCAAGACTATCCACGGCCACGCTTCCTTTGAGGACGCCAATCGAACGTGGGCCGAAGTGAGTCGGCGCACCCCTCGTGCCCATCTGAAGCAGATTGAGCCTCATGTTCTTCAACCCATTTTCTCTCTCTGCCGGGCAGCTCAGAGGATCAATGCCAACCGAGTCTCACGCATCGTTGGCGCTGAAGCACGTCGACGCGTGCGCTTTCGCATCCTTGTTGGCTCTCGCTGGAAGGATGCTTCACTGAAGATCTGATTTCACCAAAGGTCGCATCGTGCACGACACTTTCCCAAGATTAGGCTTTTAGGGACATAGCAAGTTTGGAGTATGGAGAAAGGGGCATGAGGATCCGGTTCGGTGGTTTGAGAAATAACGATTACTTTCCCAGGGAAATGAATGATTTCGCATGGAAAGGGGACTCCGAAGGGCTTGGGATTCAGATGCACAAGTGCATCTTCCGAGGTTGATATGCCCATATAGATGAGTTCCCTTCCATAATAGAACCCGGGTATCTACATGATCTTACACGGGCTCAACGACCGCGAATGGCGCTGTGCCTTCTTACAAGTGATATCACTCCAATGCTACCCGAGATTTGCTGTATGGCATTACACAACTATATGTCATTCATGACCATTGCTGAGGATTTGTCAACTTCCGTAATCCGCTTGGACGCTTGAACGATGGGAGGATTCGTGCCCATCCCACTACCGGACCGCATCCTATCAACCATAACTGCAATATGAAAGTGCAGTGGCTGATAAACCCAGGCGGTTGGAACCGGCCCGACTCGGCGGCGATGTGGACCGCCCACATTCGGATGCGATCCGGTCGCTCGGCTCGGCTTCCGATCGGCGCCTTATCTTGAGGATTCCCCATGTTAACTTTTCGTTGCTGCTTATCAAATCCAACGCCAATTTCGGGACCCGGCTAGTCATCGGGCGCTATCGAAGCTTTCTGTTTAAAAACGTCAAGGGCCCGACTAAGTTTGCCCGGCGTCGTCCGGCATGAGAGGGATTGTTGTGAGCTAGTTCGGACCTTAATCATCCTAGTGTCGCGCATGTCACTCATCCAGGCGCACATGTCTGCAGGTGATGTCACAGATACAGATACTTAATGGGTACGTCGGGTTCGCAATTATATCAGAGCATCGGCAACTTGTGTTCTTGGGATGGGATCTGGTCCTTGTCGCGGTGAAAATGACGACCAAAACCGAACGCCATAATGAAGGGCCCCAATGGCCCGCGGCCTGCATCGACGTCTTACGAGCGACGAGGTTGGTACGTGAACACCTCCCAATGCCATCGTAAGCGATCGCGTTCGGCTGACTGGAAACAGGCTGCAATGCAATCAGCCCCGAAGCTGCTCAGCTCGTGGCTATACGTCCCCTTTGGCATTATGGTGATGCTCGCCGCGTGCTTTGGCATGACCGTCCTTTTCGACACGGTGGGCGTCTCGTTTCCGGGGTCGGTGGCCTGCCTGATCCTCCTATTCTTCGGACTTCTGCTCTCCGAGCTGGTGCTGGGAAGCCACAGGACCAGAGCCATCGTCGCCGTTATCGAAGTGCCGGTGAGAGCGGACCCTTCAGTCCGGCGCGTTCGAGTCGCAGTGCTGACGTTGGCAGGCGGGATGGTCCCTCCGTTGGATCAACATTATGTTCACGCCGGCCTTTATCATGCTCCCCCTGAGTCCGCCCATCGGAATCATCGAAGTCATGAAGATGATCGCCGTCTTCAGTAAGTTCCCGACCCTGTCCAAGGATTCCCCCCCCGGAAAAGGAGACTCATAGCCCATGTAATTAGTCATCGGCTTCGTCGCCATGATGGCTCTGGCCGCCTACCTCACCCGCGGTCTCCAGCTCCTCCTCGGCTCGTCGAAGCGTGCCATCACCGAGCGCGCAGAGGAGATGGGCAACGAGACCGACGACATTCCCCTCGCCGACACCCCTCCGCGCACCGACTCCGTCCCGGGATCGCGCACCATCTCCGCCGCCCCGTCGTCGTTGTCCCTCAACACCCTCGCGCCACCCCCGCTGTCGCTCAACGCATCCCACAACTTCCTGCCCGAAGCAAGCTCACCCACCAGACCGTCGGGCGTGGAAAGCGACGGGCCCGAGACTCCTCAGAACCACCCGCTCCCGCCGCAAGTCCCTGTACCAATGCCCCGAGCTCAGCTCTGGGCGGCATGGATATGCGGGCACTTGAACTGGGTCATCTACGCCTCTGTGTTCACCTTTGTTGGTTTGCCCCTCTACTACACCACAGGGTACGCCATGCCTCTCCACCTGAGCCTCATCCTGCTCATCTACTTCGCCGCCATGTCGATCCCCGAGCACTGGCGACAGTACCTCCACCCGGTGCTCGTCACCTCCCTATTCTCCGTCCTCGGGATCTGGGCCCTCGCCGCCGTCAAGGGCGACGACCTCCCGGGCACCCTGCGGTCGTTCCGGACGGGCTCCAACTACACCTACCTCTGGCTCCACACGAACTCCGGTCGCTCGCCCGGCGCGGGCGACATCCTCGGCACCGTCCTCGACGCGAGCATCGTATCCCTCGCGCTGCCAATGTACCAGTACCGCCGCGAGCTGAGGCAGAACTTCGCAGCCATCGTGCTGCCCAACGTCGCCATGGCCGTCGGCTGCCTCTTCTCGTACCCCGCCGTCTGCTATGCCATCGGCATCGGCGCGGAGCGGTCGCTGGCGTTCGCCTCCCGCAGCTTGACGCTCGCCCTGGCGATCCCCGCGACGGAGAACCTGGGAGGTGACCTCAACACTGTCGCCGCTGTGGGCATCATGAGCGGGATCGTCGGGGTGCTGTTCGGCCAGCGCATATTGGCCTGGCTGAGGATACCCGAAGGTAAGCATGAAAGGGAAAAAGAAAATTGGAAAAAAAGAAGAAAAAAAAGAAGAAGAAAATAAAACCCTCCTTGTAGAGACGGAGAAATCGTGAGTGAAGCTGACACCCGTGCCCAGATGACTATATCACCCGCGGCGTCACGCTGGGCGCAAACTCGTCGGCCATCGCCACGGCCTTGCTTCTCCGAACCGATCCGCGCGCGGCCGCGCTGTCGAGTCTGTCGATGAGCCTGTTCGGCACCATCACCGTCTTGTTTACATCCATACCGCCGATTGCGGGTGTCGTAAAGTCGTTGGTTACCTGACGGCCGGAAGCTCAAATTCACAAGCTTGCGCTTCGTCCGAGGAGGTTCCCGAAGCATGCCATGATTCTCGAATTGATGACAAGACCGCCAATATAGCCGAGAAACCTGGCCGGTAATCTTGAGATACCGCGTGGAGACCAGCACACCAAGAAAGACGACGGGTCGTCTGGTAGTCCGTCATGGCCGACTGCCGCATCCCGAGCGCCCGTAAGTTCTTCCACACACGTGCCTGGGCATGTTTTATCTATCAAGTGGGAAGGAGGCGTTTTATCTCGCGGGGGAAAAAACAGCTTCGAGCGAGCCGGTTCCCTAGGGCCAGTCCGGTACCATGACTACCCCTAGCAATGCCAAAGCATATGCCATCGCCCTGTGACAGAGTGAGTAACTGTAGCTGTTGCGTAGCTTTGGGTCTCCTTTTCTATGCAAGGCACGAGCAGTCGAAGCAAAAAACCTGGCTTTCAAGCGGCAGGGACTATGTCCCGCCCGCTGAACCTTCAACATGGAACGGCGCATGGGTCTTATGGACCGCGTTGGCTGTTTGGTCGTCCGCGATGTCCCATGAAACTCCGTTACGATTTTGACGTCACAGAGTCGAGTCCACAAGAATACTTATATCCGCAGTGAGCGCACCGCGGTCGCATGGGGGAACGCAGGCGAGTCAGTCGTCTCGGGATGGGAATCACGAACCAGGGTATAAGCCTGCTCCCGCACCTCTCGACAACAATCCGATATAGATATCCAAGGCCTGACTTCACGTGAATGGAACCTTCATTACCAATGTCGTCCAAAATCGGGAACTCTGCTCGCCGTGTTGATAAGCGTGTAGCAAAGATGATTCCGTTCGTATCAATGTAGCTAGATACATGGGTTCCTGTCATCAACAAACCAAAGACCAGGTCATTTGTCGAGCCAACATGTCCTCGGTCCGTATGATGGGACGCCTTGAGGACCTGACCTGTCCTTAGCCAAGCTCTGTCTGGACCTCTCAGGGTTACAACCCCGCCATTGCCGGCCTGCCCCCTCTGGGCCCCCAGCTTCACAAAAACCCCAGACCCCGGAACATGTTCGTCGCATCAGGTCAGGGAGGAAGCTTTTTGTATTACGGGCGCGAAAGCGAATGATGACCATGAGCAAGCCAAGCCATGGCCCAGGACACGAGACCAGGGCCTGCGAATCCCGCAAACGAGTCGCTCAAAACACCCCTTTCCATTCTCATCCGCGCCGAGGACGTTTGACGGACAACGTGCCCCCAGCTGTGCTACACATGCATATGCATCACTGCATCGCTTCAAGCCAGTCGAGGTCGTTGTAAATATTGGCAGGTATCAAGATGATGAAGAACACCGCGTAGATCAGGAGACGACGGGCGATAAATAGACAATTGCATTCCTGTAGCCATACCTGTAGGCCTTGCATAACCGGCCGAGCCATGTTCCCACCCTAACAAAAATCGAATCGTGTAAATCGTACAGGCGGAGACTTCTATTCCCGCAATTTTCTCTTTCTTTCGGAGTCACGAACCATAGATGGCGACCCACAGAAATGTCCAACCCCGCCGGCCTCACCGGACCTGACCGGAAGACGACAGAGGAGGAGACGAGGGTTATTTCCGCTCTTCAAAGTAGAACTTGCCAAGCTTGTCACCGCCCTGGGTACTTCCCAGCGCTGCGTTACCCGGGCGCAACTCGCCTCCGTCCAGCCTCTCCCGCAGGAAACGCTCGGCGGTATCTCTAGCTGTGGGTATTGTGTTGGCGTTGCCTTCTTGGGTGAGCTGAGAGGTGGGGACAGGGGATTTGTTGGTGGTGTCGACGTACATCTCGTCACCGGGCACACCGGGGCTGTCGGTGGTCGTGCCGTCTGTCATGCGCGCATCGCGTCGCTCTTGCATAGCAGCAGCGCTCGTTGGGGTATCGCCTCCCATAGCCACGTCGCGATTCCGCTGCGTCGGGATGCCGTCGTTGCTGAGGCCGGAGGCGCTCCGCTCTAGGCCCCAGACGCCGGCCTGGCCGGCGACACCGGGTATGGGGCGGCGCTGGTAGATGGGGCCGGAGACGGTACTGTTGGCGCCCTCGCCGAAGCCGACGAGGCTGGCGGATCCGTCGTCGCTCATGCGGTCGTCGTAACCCCCGGTGGAGCGGGCGGTATCCTCGTCCATCTGTTCTGGGTCGGCGCTCATGCTGGCGACGGAGTCGGCCTCGCGGTAGTTGGTATCCATGCTGAACATGTCCTCGTCCTGCTCGCCGGGGGCGGTGCGGGTCTCGTTGTCATCGCCAACATAGCTCTCGGTGGCGCTAGCGGTACCGACAGTGCTCATCTTGGTGACGGCCGTGGGCTGACCGTGGGCGTCGAAGTATGCGGGGGTGAGGTGGGTGCTGGGCGGGTAGCCGGGAGGGAAGCCGGTCGAGGTGGGGGTGGTTTGGGGAGAGATGGAGGAGGCGACATTCTGTTGGTTCAGCGGGGCGCGCAGAGTCGAGACTCGCTCCAGGCCGGCGAGGCGGGAGATGCGATCGGCGCGCTCGGCCTCGAGGCTCGTGGTGGAGGGGTGGTGGGTGTGACCGCGGCTGCCGGCGGGACCCTGAGGGAAGTGACCTCGGTGACCATCTTTGATAGCGGTGGTAGAGAGGGCAGACATGGACGTTGTGGTGCTCGTGGGGGTGCCGCTGCGGTGACGAGAATTAGCTGGACGACTGGCTTGAGAGTTACGGGAGTGAGGCAAGGGGCAACGTACGGCATCTCAGAGGGGGTGTCTGGTCTGGAGGTAGGGGGAGGGAGGTTGATGAGGGTGGGATGGGATGCTGACGCCATAGCTGACAGCGTTGGCGGGGTTTGGACGAAGGAGACGAGAGATGGGCGAAGCAGAGGGCCAGCGGCGTCGTAGGTGAAGCTGAAGTGATACTTTATTCGGGCAGCGGTGGAAGGTCGCAGTTGAACCCGAGTTGTGGGAGGAATCGCAAACGGCAGTTCAATGGCGGGGTTATCGGAATTCGTCGTCAGATGGCTGACAGGTACCGGTACCGTAGGACGGATCGACGTGGGGCCGTATCGTATACCTCAGCGGCGCGCCGTAAAAGGGGTATATCGTCTGTCTAGTCGAGATGCGGAGAAGCAGGATGGGAGTTCGATAGTAACAGGATCGAGTCGTGTAGGTGCAGGAGAATAAGAAGCTGACTGTTGGCGCAATGTAAGGGAGAAGGAGAAGAAGAAGAAGAAGAAATCTGTGTACCTAGGCAGGATGAAGTGAAGCGCACCGAAAGCATACTACGTAGTAGACGGGCGTACCGGTACGCACGTCCTTAGTGGCAGGCGATATCGAGCGAGGTACATCAAAGTAGGGCGAGCTGGGTGCGACGGGGTGGGTAGTGTACCGTCCAGAGTGCGGGACAGTGCGTGCTTGCTGACTAAGTGGAGAGTGGCCGCAGTGAGTACGGAGTAAACTACCTAAATATCGAGCACTGGGCACCCAGCATTGACGACAGCGGGGGGCACCAGCCAGGAACAGGTCTGTGCCGGCACGCAAGGAAAGAGGGTCTGGCAGGGGAGGGAAGGGGGGAAGGGACGACAGACGACGGGGAAGGGACTCACAGTCAGGGAAGAAGGCACGGGGAGGAATGACGGAAGGTCCGTACTTTGTACAGTACGAGCGCGTAAGATCCTCCCGCCTCGTGCTTGCTTATGACGTAGACCCTGATATTCCTGCATGCCCCCTTTTAGTGCGTATTTGTACGTATTCAGATACGTACACTGTAGGCCTGATTGCTGATTGGGAGAGATGCGTCTACGAGAACGCCCATTGGTCCATGAGGTCAGATACTCCCGTACTGTACACCTAAGTAGGTAATTGTTGCTTCTCATCTTTCGATGCCATCACCAATTACATCTCAAGCGGCGTCCTATCCATCAACTTTGTTTTCTTGGTTTCAGCCAAGACATCCTACACCTCAATAAACAAGCGACCACCACCGCCGCCATTCTGCCCGACTTGGCCTTTCTGTCGTCATAGCAGCCTAGACGATGAACACGCCCGGCGTGAAGTCGACCACCCGCGCTTTGAGTATGGACGGGCCCGCCTTCTCCACGAACGCCCGATGCGCCGGGTCCTTGTGCACGTAGTAGTCCCGGTCCTCGCTGCTCTCGAACTCGACGACAAAGACGTGCGTGATGCCGTCTTGCAGGCCCTCCGGGCTGTTGTCCAGCCCGCCCGCGATGGACTTGATATACGTCTTGTTGGACGTCGGGTGGATGCAGTTGTCTCGGAGCGCCAGCATGGAGTCGCATATCTGACGACGTGTCAGCCCTGTCTGCTCTGTTCCTTTCTCCCTCCTGTAGGGATTCGGCGCATCCCCTTCTTTGTGACTTGCTATATTCCCCCCTCCCCCCCCTTCCTCTCACTCCCATGCCGGGGCTGGCTGGACCTACCGACTTCACGTCGTCTATCGGGACGAGCTCCTTGTATTGGAACTGCACAACGTGGACGACGCTCATGATTCAGGTTCCGTCTGGACGGCTGTGTTGTGCGAAGTATTGAAAGTGGTGTAAGAAGAAAGTGGCAGGCGCAATTTAAATTTCCCAGTCATGTTGCACCACATAGCTGATATAAACAACATACAAATTCTATGCCTTTCTATTGCCACCTAGCCTACTTTTGTACACTTTCTTGTGCTCCTCGGGCGCTTGGAGATCGGCCGACCGGAGGACTGCTGTCACGTGCTCCACAACCACGTGACCCACATCCTTCCGCCTGCCTTGTGTCTGAATGGTTCTTGAGGGGTTGCGTTTTCAAGATCAATCCATTTCTTTTAGAACCATTCGATGAGCTCCTCTTTTTGCCGTTTATCAATATTTCGCCGAGACAGGATGCCGGCAGTGGGAATGAGCTCAGCCCCTGTGACCTTACACATCGCGGTATTGCTTTGTTGGCCTGTAGGGTCATTCGATTTTCCCATGCATGCGAGTCTCCAGAACTCGTCGGCGATTATTGCCCTTAGTCAGCATAATCATAGTTTATGATTGAGGTTACGACGGTATCGGACCGTCTTCGATCCCCTAACTTTCGTTTACCTCCTTCGCTCTTCCCGCATAGAGCCGGGCCTCGACGTCGTTTCAGGAGACCCTGGAGCTCCATCACGTTCTGCGGGCGAGCGACCACGATGGAGTCGAGATATGGCACAAGGGTGCCATTGTTGCAGAGACCCGGTGTTTGTCTTGCGTCTTGGCCCAGCAGTCGGCAAAGTGGCTGAACGCGTCGAACGGGTTTCCGGGTAGGAAATCGATTAGCCCATAGATATTCGTCCACTTGTTGTGCATGAATGTGCCTGTGGCGCCCAGGAAGGTATCTTAGGGCAATGACAAGGCCGCGGAATGAGTCTCCTCAGTGTGGTTCTTTACATTTTGAGCCTTGTCAAGGATAAGAATGGAAAAGGAGATAATGAATAGCCCCATTGTTTCCTCAGAAGCCCGTCCCGGATCCGTTGACCTGTCTGAACGTGCCGAGCATCAAGTTCAAGCGTATAGCCAGCAGCGTTAGTATGTCCTAGACATAGACCTTGGGATCTGTGTTAAGCGAAAGACTCCCGTATTCATAGTTGTCTTCTTGGCTTTCAGAGGGCGGAGTCTTGAGTCTTTCAAGTCTCGTACACGCAGGACTAGCTCGTTCTTCGTTGAGACTTCCTCCAAAGGATCAGGAGCGATCTTGAAGTTATCCATCCAAAAGTGGATGTGGCAGCTGAGAGCGATCATGTTCTCTGGAATATCAATGTGGTCTATGTCCATCTCTTGCATGAACTCTTGGATAAGCAAGTCATCCCACAGGCTTCGCATTGTCTTGGTTATGTTTGAATACGCCTTATTGTTCGGAATAGATGCATGGGGCGTAGGTGGTACGCCAAGGTTTCTGGTACTCCAGCGGAAGTCCTTTAGACATTCTTAAGGCTCTGGCTTCAACCTTGCCTCCCATTGTGAGGATGGTGTCTGTCGTGGTGGCGAAAGTGAGCTCCTGGTCGCGGCTCACAAGGAACTGGTAGCCCGCGAACACGATATCCGGTTCGGCGCTTCGAATCTCGTCGGGCGTCACTCCCTTGTCATCCCAGACGAAGACTTTGGGCTGTTAGTTCTTTGAAGTTACCGTTAGCTTCGCTACCTCAAAGGTCTAATAGGCTTGTAAGATTCCATACCGCTGTGAAATGAAATTTGCATTCGTCCTGCTGAGTTGACTGAAGGCCTTTGGGCGCCACTACGAGGGCAGGCCCTTGGTAGGGTTCATTACACGCCACATGTTTGCCAAGACATATGTACTATGAATCCGAGTCGTTCACTCCACTGCGTCTATAATTCCTACAGCTATTCACTTAATTAATGTCTTCAATCATGGCTTCCTCCATAGCTTAATATTTGGCGGTTATGATGCCACTTCAATCATGCCACTTTGATGACATTGGGATTTTCTAAGCCTGAGGGCATGGTTCTCACATTGTAGTCACTTCTTTTGGCTATAGAAGCCGTACCTCTGAGCCTGAGGCTGTGTGAGTACATCAAAGATTGTCAGTCTTTGAGATCAGCCGTTCTCATTTGCCCTAGAGTACTCGTTGGTCCCATGGCCATAATCGCGGGCATGCCCGCTTACAGAGAATGAGTTCTTTCTGGGTTTGGTTACTGAAACGAAATGCTTAGCTACCGCTCACTTCATCCCAGATAGATCTTTCACTACGTGCTGCCAACTACGGAGATATTTTTTCTGGGAAATTGTAATGTTTACGTTATTAATCATGATCTATATTTCGGGCTCCTGTCTTGTTAAACTAGGATAACATGAGGTCACAAGCCGACGTCATCGCGAAACGCCTTCTTCAAGCGGTACATACCTCTTCTTCATTCCCTGAGGCTGAATGTACTTCTAGTTTTGACTGTCCTGGGCCTTGAAACCTATCGTAGCATTGTGTATTGGGAGCCTGGTGATTCTTGTAGTAACGTCACTCTCACTTCAACACCAGGGACAAACTCTTTCGTCCATAATGTGTTGGATAGTTTCCAAGTACCACTTCATGTTCAATATCTTCACTTTTCTTCCGAGCCTGGACAGTGTGGCATCGTTTCGATCCCTATGGTATTTCTAACTGGCCCGGATTACGCAAAATTAATGACCATCTCTTTATAGACGCATGAAATGTCTTCTTATAGGATATTGAAATAATTCTATGCAAATGCTGATATAGTAAGGCCGGTTCTGTTGTTCGGGTTAAATGTCGGTGCGCTGAATCATTCGAACCTATGACTGTTTGGTCTGTCCACTTTGTTCGTGGTCATTTCTGTAATCACATCTAGCTATATGGCATCTGGTGTTGGTGGAGGAGCCCATGGGTCACGTGACCCACCTCCACCTCCTTCTCGGGCAGCCTCTGCCCACTGTAGGCAGCCCACTTCTAGTCAGCTACACATCACTAATATCAACGGATATTGCCTCACCTTGCTACTCCCACAGGTTATAAGGCCTAGGTTAATACTAATTAATTTTCTTTATAATTAATTAATTAGCTGCCTTTACCCCTTTGTTTTTGCTTTTTTAAATAGTCTATAGTAATATTTATAAAACGTTATAATTACTACTTATATTACTATTCTAACTACCTATCTACTATAGTTATATTACCTCTTAATAATAATAATAAGTAATAAACTTAAAATATTACTTTTACTTTTATTTATACCCCTTTTTACTTAAATATCTAATAAATAGTAGTAATTTATATAATAATTTAGATATACCCCTTATCTTATAAAAGAAATATATAAAGTTTAATATATTATTAGGCTACCTATAGTCTAGGGGAGACTTTTATCTATATTATATATTATATTATTCTCTTTTATATTAGTAATTAACTACTATTATAGTTAATAAGGTTAACTACTAAATAGTTATATAGTTTATCCTTAAGCTTAAGAAGAAGTTAAACTAGTTATAATAGTAAGTACTAGTTAATATATTACTTTATACTACTAAAGTTAAGAAATATATTAATTATAAAGTCCTTTAACTAGTAATTAACACTAATAAGTATAAGAATTAAGAAAATAAATATAATACTACCTATAGTATTATTATTAGTACTTATAACCTTATAATTATTAAGCTCCTTAATATAAGATAAGTTAATAATAGTAACTTATATACTCTTATAAAAACACTTAAGAAGTTTATCTCTAAGGTATCTAAAGATACTATTACTACCTTTATTAATAAGTTTAATAAAGGTAGTACCTAAGATTATAAAACCCTTTATAATACCTTTATAAAGGTTTAATACCTCTAAAGCTATATTACTAGCCTTTATAGTAAAAACTTTAACTACTATTAGGCTATTTTTATATTTAACTACTTTAAGGTATAACTACTAAATACTTATAAGTACTATACTAATAATAATAAGATATTTACTTAGGTAAAGGTTATTAAGACTATTTATACTTTTGTCTAGGATAAGGAATAGAAAATAGGACTTATTATATACTATAAGAATACTACTAATCTAATAGTAACCTCTTCTAGTACTAACTAAAGTACTACTTTTACTAAGAATATTACTTATAGTAGTTTTTACCTTTATTATAAAAAAAACTACTTTACTATAAAGTACTAAACTACTTACTTAAAGCTAGTTCTTACTAATTATCCTTATTATAATACTTTTTTTATCTATATAACTAAGTATATTTATAATAAAGATTATAAAAAAGGATTATTTAACTTATTATTAACCTTTGTTTTTATTAAGGAAGCCTTAGGTACTCTTAGTAGCTTCTTTATTATTAGCCTAGCTATAAAGCCTAGCTATATAGTATATATAGCTATTAATAATAAAGTTATTACTACCTCTAATATTATACTAGATTTAGGCTACTTTAACCTTATATTTAACTTATTAACCTACTTTATATTCTATATAGTCTATAGTAACCTTTAACCTTTTACTATTATAAATAGTAATTAAGTGTATCTAGAGGGCAGTAGTACTATTTTCTTCTAGACAAAGGATCTAGTTAACCTAACTTAGACTATTAACTAGACTATTAAAGATATTAAGTATAGCCCTCTTAGCCTAGCTAACCTTCTTAGCCTAGGTAAGTTATATAAGGTAGACATTAAATATAACTACACTACTACTTATATTATTAATACTAAATCTAAGGCCTATTTAGCTACTATTAAATAAATCTTAGACATCTATGTCCTTTATATAACTAATAGCCTAACTATACCTATAGTAATTACCCTTAGATTAGCTATAGTTAAAGGCAAGTGCTAACTAACTCTTAAGATAATATATTACTAACTTATTTATACCTATTTATTATAGGTTATTAAGGCCTACTATTAAGTAAGTATATAATTTATATAGATAAAGATTAATAACTTTTACTATAAGGCCTACTACTTAGCTAAATCTATAGAGCTTATTAGCTATAATACTCTGTTGCCTTTTACCCTTATAAGTAAAGAAATCTATCTTAACCTTATTAAGGTTAAACCTTTTTCTAAACTTAGTATATAATATACCCTTTACTTTCTTAACTATTATAGTAGTTATTACTAGCTTACTTTATTAAAAACCTATTACTATAAGGTTATTCTTAGGTAATTAATTAGGATGCACTAGGAATTAATATAGACGCACTGGCCTTATAGACGCACTACTATTTGTGTTTCTAATTAGTTTAAAAAAATAGTATATCCCTATAAAGGCAGTAAAGGTAATTATAGTAATATAGCTATTCTACTATTCTATTCTACTATTAACTAATTAACCTATATAGCTATAGGAAATAGGCTTTATAAGGGGGGTTCTTTTTATAGCTATAGGAAATAGCCTCTATAAGAAGCACTATCTTTATAGCTATAAAAAGAGCCCCTTTATTAAGCCTACTTTATAGCTATAAAAAAAGCCCCCTTATTAAGCCTACTTTATAGCTATAAAAAGAGCCCCCCTATTAAGCCTACTTCCTATAGCTATAAAGGTTACCCTTTTTACTAGGCCTACTTCTTATAGCTATAAAAAGAGCCCCTTTACTAAGCCTACTTCTTATTTACCCTAAGAAAAGTAACCTTTTTTATAATTAAAATACCTACTACCTAGCTACTTTTTTATAATATAGCTATAAGGATTTATTATTACTACTAACTATTTTTTACTAACTCTATGTCTTCTAAATACTAGGCTAAAGTAGCTATTTACTTATATAATTCCTTATTATCCTTTCTCTACTAAGAACACTAGACTAGCTTCTTATTTATTACTAAGATAAGGTAAAAATCTAGCTTTAACTTAGTTAACTTAGATCTTATATAGATTTAGCTAATATTAACTTATTCTTAGTTTTAGGTAGGTAACTTTACTTTTTACTACTTATACTTTAGCTTTTACTAGAGGTATAGGTTTAGCTTATTAAGTAGCCTTCTCCTAGTAAAGATAGTTATAATAGGATAAGCTATACTATATTCTTTAGCCTACTATAGAGGAATATTATAATCTTTAGATTAAGGATCTAGTAGTATAGATTAAAAGAAGATATTTCTTAAAGATACTACTAGGGGTATACTTTTTACTTATTAAAAGCTACTAAATTAAGTATCTTAGTAAAGATCTTATAGTAGTATAGAATACTAAGCTTAGTTAAAATAGTATAGTCTAGACTATATTCTCTAATAAGGTCTAGGAATAGTCTTTTAATAGAAGGTATTACTTTCTTTATTAGCTAGTATTACTTTCTAATTAACGCTAAATACTTTAAGGAAAGTATTATCTAAAGTTTACTAAGGAGCTTAAAGTAAGTACTTATATACTTCTAGCTTCTAAGGACTTTATCTTTAGTATAAGCTTATCTAAAGTATAACTTCTAGTTACTAATTATATTTTATATAATATTAATAAGTTAATATAAGTAACTAAGACTATTTAAGAGATAGCCTTTAATATTATTATTACTTAACTTTATACTAAAAGTAATATAAATACTAAAGTTCTAGTATTTTTAGATAAAGTAGTAAGCCTACTATACCCTTAAAGGTAAGTATATTATATAGAAGTACTAGAGGATTAGGCATTAGTTAATAAACTCTTTATAAAGCTTAGTCTAAGCTTCTTTAAAGGTATACTTAGTCTTAGTAAAAATAATAAGCTTTTATATTATAAAGACCTTATAATATATATAAGAGGGGGTATCTACTAGTGTATTAACATAAGCCTAGTCCTTATTACTAAGCTAGGCTATTACTTATATTATTTACTAATAGGCCTTATTATTAGACCTACTACTGTTACTACTATAAGTAAAGTCTTTAAGCTACTTCTACTTAGCCTTAAGTATAATATTAAAGTTAATATAGTAAATATAGAGTTATTACTAGGCCCCTAGGAACTACTTATTTAGTATAGCCTTTATTTACTTATTATAGTCTATAATAATAATAGTAAGGTAATAGACTAAGTGTTAGTCTATAAGTTAGTAGATACTTATTAAGAGAAACTAAAAACCCTTTAGCCTTTTATTATTAATAAGGCTAAATACAACGTTATAAATAGATCTAAGGTAAGTTTATCTAGTGGCCTAGAAGAGTAGAAGTTTAAAGTAATTAGTGTTATAGGTATTATTAAAACTAATTACTTTAGGGAATTACTTCTATATTTAAAGATAATAAAGAAAAGTCTAGACAAGGCTAATAAGGTAGTTAGGCTTATTATTTACTTACTTTACTATATATAAGATATCTTACTTATTAAATAGCTTAATTAAAGCTATAGTTAGTAAATAGCTATCTAGCTTCTTTTAGGTTATATAAGCTTTAGTGTTATAAATATCTTATTAGGTAAATAAGGCATCTAGGAACTACTCTTAAATAATAGTATATATATTATATACCTAGATACTAACTTATTAGCTTATTATATTAATTATATTTATTATAGGCTAAGTAAGCCTATAATAAAAAGGATATATAAAGGCTTTAAGGCTAAAGCTATAGTTATACTAACTATACTAGGTTTTTAAATAATAATATAATAGCTATTTACCTTCCTCTTAGGCCTCTATAATAACCTACTATTAATAACTATATTTCTAAGTTATATACTATTATATACTATTACCCCTTAGTAGTTTAAGGTTACTAAACTAATTATATTAGAGGTAGTATTACTTAAGATAGCTATAGACTTTTTTCTTACTATACTTTATAATACTAAATCTATTAGCTTTTACAAAGGTATTAACTTAATTAAAGAGGGCGTTAAAGGTTTATTTTAGATTACTAGGAATTAGTAGATTTAGGATTTTACTTATAAGAGGACAAGAAGATCTATTACTTTAGGTGTAGTAAGAGGCTATAGTTTAAAAAAAGGCTTTACTTTAAGGGGAAGATTATTATTAAAGTAGTAAATAAGGTAGTAAATTAGCTTAAGGACCTTATTATTTTTACTATTAATAAGTATACTCTTGTTATTAAAAAAGTACTATTATTAGCTATTAATTAGTCCTAATAACCTATTAAACAAGGTTAAAGACATGATTAAACTACTATATAGTAAGATAAGAAGGTTACTAAGACTATTTATTATAAGAGGGAAGGCTACACTTTAAAGAAAGCTAAGGGAGAATAGTCTACTAAGTTTTTATTATCCCCTTAGGGAAATATTAAGTAAGGTAAAGTATTAGCTTTATACTAAGGTAATATAGTTTATAGTATAAAAGAGGTTATATATCTTATAGTAAGCTTAATAAGAGCTTAGCTAGAAGGTTATACTGCCCCTTAGGATTACTAGCTCTATAGAACTAGCTAACGCTAGGACAGCTACTTTTAGAGGAAGAAGATAATAGTAGGTAGCTAGATAATATTAGTAGGTTATAATTAGTTACTAGTTACTCTCTTAAGATATAACCTATAGTAGGAAGGTAAGTAGGTTATATATTATGCCTTAGACTACATTATAAGGCTATTATAAGTAAATAGTATAGATAAAACTAAGGTTAAATAAATTAACCTTATTATAAAAAAGGATAAAAAAAAAAGCTACCTTCTGTAGGTCTAGTAGAATTTAGTTATACTAATAATTTTTTTTTAAACTAATTAGAAGTATAAATAGTAGTACATCTATAAGGCTAGTGCATCTATATTAATTCCTAGTGTGTCCTAATTAATTACCTATTCTTAATACTATTAAGAAGTTTAGTGCTATATTTACTAATATAATAGGTCTCTTAATTAAAGGTTAAATATATAATAATATACCTAAGCTTAAGAAAGTACTCTATAACCTTTTCTTTAAAGGCACTTAACTTTACCTAACTACTACCTATACTTTATTAATAAATAGTATAATTAAATATACTAGCTATACCCTTATAGAGGCTACCTATACTCTACTTATTAATAATAGCCTACTAAAGGATCTCTAAGACTATATACTTAACACTATAGTCTAGATCCTTAACCTACTACTATAGTTAACTAAGGGTAAAATAAGCCTTTATAAGATTATTACCTATAAGCTTAACCTTGATACTAACTAAGAACCTCCTTAAATTAAACACCTTTGTACCTTTAGTTATATTATATATATATATAAGAAAAGTAATAAGTGCCCCCCTTATTTTATAAAAATAGAACCCTATATAATAAAAGGTTACCTTATTAGCTATAGCTTTTTATATAGTTATATCTACTATATCTATATTCTTAATTAAAAGTAAGTTATTTATTACTATAATATTTATTTTTATAAAAGGAAAAAAAAGACTATTCTTTACCTTATTACTAATATAAATATCCTAGTAAATACTAACTATAATGTACTCTTTAATAAGCTTAACCTCTAGATTTAGTTTCCTAGCTAAGTCCCTAATTCTTACCTACTAGTTACTAAGACCCTATAAAACTAGTAGGCTAACTAAACTAATAGTAACACTATTAATAGTAAGTGTATTAATAATACTACCTATATAACTTTACTCTTAGAGAACACTACTATACTTATTTTATTACTTACTAATAAATAGCCTATAAATAAACACCTAAATAAATAAGATAATAACTTTACTAATAATAAGTTTTATAAGGTTATTTAATAAGAGGCTAACTATCTTCCTCTAGTTATAGAGAAGAATAAGCTAGACCTTATTATTAAGGCCTTTACTACTATATCTACTACTAAGTATATTACTACTAGTTACCTATATTATACTAGTGTAGTAAAGCTACTTAGCTACTATTATAAGATAGTAAGTATCTAAAACTATAAAAAAAAAATATATCTTTTAGCTAATATTTAAGTACACTAAGATAGTTAAAGTTACTTTATTAGCACCTTTATAGTAGCTATATTATTAAAGGTACTACCTACTAGTTATAATATACTTACTACCTTTAAGAAGGCAAAGGAAGGCCTACACTAGCACTATTAGAAATAGGCCTATAATACTAAGATTTAATAATTTAATAATAAGAAGGTATATACCTTTATTAACCCCTTAACTAGAGCTAAGGTACTACTAGGTAAATAGGTATTTAATATTAAAACTAATATAAATAATAAAATTATATACTTTAAGGCCTAATAAGTAGTCTATAGTAACTTTAAGTAAGGTAATTAGTTATTATAAGAGGTATATATAGCTATAGCTACTACTACTACTATTTACTTCTTTTTTATTATTATTACTCTTTATAGATTAAAGTATAAGATATATAACTTTAATACTGCTTTTTTTATTGCCCTTATTCTTACTAGCACTAATATCTATATTAAATAACCTACTAGTTATATTACTACTAATAATAAGGTCTAGTTACTTTAAAAGGCCTTTTATAGTCTATATAAGTTACTACTATAGTAGTTTATACTTATTAAGGGTAAAATAGAGAAAATTAGCTTCTAGCTAATTAAAGAGGAGATCTACCTCTTCTATAACAAAGACCTTAATACCTATGCCTTAATATATATTAATAATAATATAGTAGCTATACCTACTACTAAGATAACTAGGAAAGTATATAATATACTTACTAAAGTCTACCTACTAAAGAACCTTAGTAAGGCCTCTTAGTTTCTTAGCTTTTAGATTTAGTGTTCTACTACTAATAAGATTTATATTAATTAATATAAGTATACTAAAGGTATACTTTATTACTTTAGTTATATTAACCTTTAGCTAGTTAAAACCTTATTACCTACTAACTAAGACCTTCTTATTACTTAGAATAAGGATAATTATACTAAAGCTAACTAATAACTCTATATTAAATAGACTAGCTACCTTAACTAGTTAGCTACTAGTATATGTCTAGATATTACTTTTATAGTTAGTAAGCTCTCTTAGGCTAATACTAGCCTATTATTTACCTATTAAGTAGCTATTAAGTACCTTTTTTACTACCTTAAAGGTACTACTTATTATAGTATCTTATTTAGTAAACTTAACCTTTTTACTAATATTAGCCTTTATACTATAGTAAATACTTCTTTTACTAATAATTACTTATTATAGGTATCTATAGGTAGTTATATTATTTATTTTACTAGTTTACTAGTAGCCTAGAAGTCTAAGTAATAGACCTTTATTACTTTAAGCTTTACTAAGGTAGAGTTTATTAACTTTATACTAGTAGTAATTACTATAAAGTAGATTTATTACTATACTAAATAGCTTTTTAGCTAACTACTAGATACTTTAATTATTCTTTTTACTAATAGTACTAATATAATAGTTAATATTATAAATTCCTTTAATAAAGTATAAACTTAAAGTATTAATATCTAATATAAATAGATAATCTAAGAGGTTTATACTTATAAAAATATTACCTTTTAACTTATTTATAGTACTAAGATAGCTATTAATAGCCTTATAAAGGCACTAGCCTTAAATAAACATAAGGATTTTATTAGACTACTAGGTATAGTAAATAAATTAGATTAATAAGTTATATAGGAATATAAGTAAATTATATAGATAATAGATTATATAGTTTATAGTTTATATAGGCTTATTAGTATATAAATAAATTATTACTAGACTAATAGGTAAATTACTAGCCTTTTACTAAGGTTATTATATACTTTAAAAACTCCTTAGATTTAGAGAATTTAAGGTTAAGTAATTATTTACTACTATTATTATAATATGCAGGAGTAGGCTGGCAGAGCCTGAGGGGGAGTGTTAGTGGAGGAGCCCATGGGTCACGTGACCCACCTCCACCTCCTTCTCGGCCAGCCTCTGCCCACTGCGGGCAGCCCACTCCTAGTTAGCTTCACATCACAGTTATCGCCAATACAACGGTATTGCCTCACTTTGCTGCTCCCACAACTTATGTAATTAAACATGCTCAAGTAGATACTGCGCCGACTTTCGAGCTATCTGGACTTTAGAATATATGCTGCTGGCTGCCGCAGTATAGATTCCTGGAATTTAGATAGCTCTGCATTGCTGCGGACAACGGCGATTTCGAATCGGAGAGGTCAAACCGCGCCGTGCCGCCAAGTAGCGATGGAAGCACCGACTTGGCTGCAGTGCCTCTGAGCCGAGAATGACTGCTAATAGCCACCTCACACCTTACGCTTGGTGCTTATGGCCCGAAGGTGTGATAGGAAATACAGGTGGCTTGAAAAGCACAAATCCTGGCTGCCTAAAAAGTTGGAAAGCGTGCAAGGCTTACTGCGCTCTGTTTGTACGACATCACTAACGTGGCCAGACTACTACCCCCAAGCTGTTCACCTATGAGGAGAGAGTACACGTGCCTCAACCTCACAAAGACGAGCGACATGTGGCCCGCGCTCTCTGGGTTGGCACATGAGACGGCCGAGCTGGTGGGTGACGACGACGCGTTCCTCGCCGGGCTTTAAATGAACAACCTCGAGCAGGACCTGATGTGGCGCGTCGTCGCGGTCGCCGACTGGAGGCACCAGCGGGCGAACGTGCTCAAGCAAGGCTGGATAGCTCCGTCCTGGTCGTAGGCTTCGGCAAGAAGCGGTTGCAAAGTGAGCCACCCCGTCTTCCAAGGTGCCGAGGTGTTGGACTACAAGACGCCCGGGATAATGGCCAAGTCCTGTTAAGTAACGTGCCCTCCCGCGGGTGCGGATCCGTTCGGGTCCGTGTCCCATGAGCACCTCCAAGTGACGGCGAAGCGGATGCCCGTGCTGATACAGAGGCCATGCTCCCGGTGGGACGTGAAACGACGTTGGACAGACAGTGTTTATGGGAGATTTTTACTCTACGCCCGCAAGGATCAGCAAGAGTTGCAGGACTGTCTTCCGGTAACCGGGGAGGCATCTCTCGAATTCGAATTTCGGGCCCGTCAAGTCGGAGCTCTGGGTCGATCCCTCGGTTGAGCGGATGGAGGGCTGCTTTCTCCGCAACGGCGACCAGGCCGCTCACCCGGGACCGTGCAGGCACTGCCTGTTCCTCCCGGAAGCATTGGTGACAGTCTTGTAGCTGGAGCTAGTAGGATAGAAGTGCTTTTCAGTTGTAGACATGTCTTGGTGGGTATGTGCTGGGTTTTACGTCAAGTACCTATGTGCTCCAAAGCAGGCATGTCGGACTGGGTGTTGCACAGTTACTTTGCTCTGCGGCATCAACCAGGGATCCTGGTCTCAAGGTGGCGTTGGATCTCAGGACAACGGGTGCTCAATGCGACGGGCCAGCAAAGGTTTTCCCTCTGGTCGCTACGGAGGAGCCCGTCAATAGTATTGTCCTAGAATGCCAAGACTGCCCCATAGGTTTGAGCCCACTTGAACCAGAATCTGGCCAATTAAACTTGCTGGATTAACCATCTTCCTTTTCCGAACTAGGGCCCTAGTAAGTCGACCGGGCTACCACTGTAAAGGCCTGGTAACAGGGCTGGCAATAGGGCTCTTGGTGGTGTAAAATGCTGGCTACAATTGCTTTTGGTGTGCGCCCCTGCAATTATCCTTGCCACTTGACATAGGGTGGTCTTGGCATTCTAGGACAATACTATTGACGGGCTCCTCCGTACTCTCTTCCGATAACTTGTCTTGTTTCTTCTCTACACCGTGAAAACGCCCCAGAGCGTGTGCAGCTGATTCAAATCGCCAAATGCGTTTTTCTTTCGTCCTATCCACTGCACCAGAGCCTCCGATGGTGTTGTCGCCGTTCCCAGATGGACCACTCGCATTAATGTGCTACAGGCCTCACAGTTTGCTTAGATAAATCACATCGTTGTGGTGGAAATCAACAATCAGCCACTAGTCAAGGTGCCAGAGTGGTTAATGGGCTGCCCTGCTATCAAACTTTGATTCCAGATTAGGCAGTGGCTTCGGTCGCGCAGGTTCGAATCCTGTCCTTGACGTACCACGATTTTTGCCTCCCCCCCCCCCCCCCTCCTTTTCTTCTTCCTCTTCTTCTCGACTTGTTGAAGTTTGGCCACATATTGACGGGCTGATGTGCCTGCATGTATGTAGTAGTATCTATCACATGCTGGTGGTATATATACCTATGTTGGTCGTCGGCCACCGTCTGTGTGGATGGACGGACTGACCAACAGGCCCACAGAAGACAGAGAAGCAAGCAAGCAAGTCAGGAACGTACCGTATCTGACCTCTCGGGGTACGTACTTAATGGGAGCAATTATTCACCCTACCTAGCTACCTAGGTAGGCATCGGATGCCGGGCAGGAGCTCCCCACCATCGCCAGCTCCCGAAGCTTCCCCTCCGATCCGACCCCGCGACGTCACATGATGATGACGTGAAGGCCTCGAGAGGTCGCAAAAGATGGAGTTCGTCCCGTCGATACTACAGAGCACCTCGCTCTCGTTCTCCATCTCTCTCTCTGCCAGTTCCTTTATCGAGCAATTGATGATTCGATAAACAGTCGAACCTCACTTTCTTTCCCTCGTCCTTAATCTCCACTCAGCCAGTGAATACTGATCCAAAACCATTGCTCAGGCAGAAAGAGGGGTCACGAAATACGATGGCATCCACACAGCAACAACAGCCGCAGCAGGTCACACTCCCAGACGGACGGGCCCTCTCGTATGACCTATCGGGCCCGGAGTCGAAGCCCATCGTTCTTTTGGCCAACCCGCTCTCGGCACCATTCGCGCTCTGGGACCGCGTCGTCGAGGTTCTCCACGACAACGGGTTCCGCACGCTGCGCTTTGACCAGCCCGGGCACGGCAAGTCGTCGGCGCCCAAGGGCCTCGACACCGAGTTCGAGACGATGGCCGACGATGTGCACTTCCTCGTCACCTCGCTCGAGGTCGACAGGCTGTTTGCGTGGGTCGGCGTGTCGATGGGCGCCGCGACGAGCTTCTACTTCGTCACAAAGTACCCGGGCATCGTGCGCAAATTGGTCATCTGCGACACCATCAGCTCGTCGCCCAAGCTGGCCGGCGTCGAGGACACGTTCGGCGTGCGGGCCAAGGCGGCGGGCGAGGCGGGCAACATGCAGGAGCAGGTCGAGCAGACGATGGACCGCTGGTTCGGCGCCGACTGGGTCAAGGCCAACCCGGACGAGGCGAGCCGCGCGCGGGCCATCATGAACCAGACCACGGTCGAGGGCTTCCAATCGTGCTGCCACGCGCTGCAGAGCGACAAGTTCGATATCCGCCCGCTGTTCGAGAGAGCAGGCTCGGGGGTGGACGAGGCGTTGTTAATAGTGGGCGAGAAGGACGCCAACCTGCCGCAGGCCATGGAGGGGATGCGGGGAAAGGTCGAGGCGGGATTCAAGGCGGCGGGCAAAGACAAGAAGATTGAGCTCAAGGTGATTCCAAAGGCGGGCCACGCGCCGTTTGTCGACAACTTTGGGCAATTCAAGGAGGTGTTGTTGGACTATCTCAAGGCCTGATTCTGATTGCAAAAGTCCAGCGAGCCGAGCCTGCCTTGGCCGACTGTAATCTCCCACAGTAGTAGTGAAAAAATTTCAAACACACCAATCCTTACTTGATCAGGGCATTTGGAGGTTGGATGTCATGAAGCGATTGCCAGCGGCTTCCGTCCCCAGCCTCTGGCGGCTTTTTTCGTGAGATGGATGGATGCAATGGAAAAAGGGGGCGGCTCTGGGAGGGCACACAAAGAAGCCTCGGTGAGGAAACCAATGAGGGAGCTTGTCCTTTCCTAGTCTCGGGGGCCGTGCTTCTCGCCTCTCATAGGGCTCACCGGGCTCACCAGGCTCACCGGGCTCACCAGGCTCACCGGGCTCACCAGGCTCACCGAGCCCACCTCTAGACCAGATACGGCTTAGCGCCATTCCAGCCTGACCCACCACCCATTGCCAGCCTTCCTTTTTTTTTCCCTCGCCCCGTGGTGGTTTCCCCATCCTGGCCAGGCCAGCTTCCCCCCCGTTCTAGTGTAGGTAGTGTGTAGCTTCCTTCCCAGCCCTCCCAGCCCAGTCGGACATGCACTGATTGTGCATCCGTGCTTCTTTCTCCTTTGGTTCCGATGCTCCGTTTATCTTTGCTCCCACAGCAACCGCCCGTCAACCATTACCATTACAACCCATTACAACACACACACCCACAAAAACACCCACACACACGTACACACCACAAACAACACAAGCCATCCCGTCCGTAGACAAAGGCGTCGAGCACGGAAACACACATACACACAGAGAGAGTGTGTGAGAGAGTGAGAGAGTAGAGAGAGAGAGAGAGAGAGGCCTTTGCTCCTCTACCTACCCCCCTCCCCGCCACCTCGGTCTCTCTCTATATCTCAACGGCCAATCCAACGCCTTCTCACCTTTCTCTCGCCCTCTGTCTGCATCACCGCCCCCGGCTCTCTCTCTCAACCAATCGACGTTTCCTCGTTCCCACCGCTGACGTGGTACCTAACGCGATTCTTGTCTCCGCACCCATCCAAGCAAGTCGCACATGCCCCGCGCTTCGTTCTGCTACAATTGACGACGACGCATTCCCATCTCCCATCAATACCTTCCACCACCACTACCACCACCACCAATACCGCGCGTTGTAGCTTCCACATCGTCGCTCGTTGCTCGCCCATTCCGCATTTCGCCCCCCACCATGGCTGCCCACTCCGATGCCGGTGCCCAGCAGCAGCAGCAGCAGCATCAGCCCAACGGCACCCCGACCGACACCCGCTCTGTCGCCGACGAGCCCACGACGCCCCAGGACAATGGCATCCTAGCATTGAACTCGCCGCATGTCACGCTACCATCCACCGAAGTCCCCGTCTCTCCCATCGACCCCAGCCAGTCATTCAAGACAGAAGTCAACGATGACCGTCTGGGCTCCTCCGCCGTCATTCCCTCGTCCCTGACACCGCCTCCCTCCTCGCAGCTTGCTGCCCACGCCGCCAACGGCGCTCTCCAGACTGCATACGGCGCCTCCCACCGCTCCGCTCTCGTCTCGCCGCCCGCCACCGGCCTCAACCCTTCTGTTCCCCGACGCGACGGTGGCCTCCACACGGACTACGTCCCCCCGGCGCCCCAACAGGTTCTCGAAGCGACGGCCGACGAACTACGGGCCATGATGCAGGCGAGCATCGCCGAGCACGCCAAGCTGAAGATGGAGGCCGCGCACCACAAGCTACAGTACAACCTGCTCAGCCTCCAGGCCGACGAGGATGCGAAGCGGGCAGCTGTGGAGCACGAGATGACCCGACGGGAGATTGAGGCCCTTAGGACGGCCGAATACTCGCGCCACGCCGTCCGCGAGCTCAGCGCCGCCTCTGAGTCCGCTCAGATGAAGTACCTCCAGATGAAGATGTGGTACGAGGAGGCCATGGACGAGAACGACGCTCTCGCCCGCCGCGTCAAGATGGCCAAGAGGGTCATTTCACAAAAGGAGGAGGAAATCATTGCCTTGACGGAAGAGCGCGACATGCTCCTCAACCGCATCCGCGAGAATCGGGAGCACTTTCATATGCTGTGCAGCCCGGGCGGCATCTTTCACGGTGCCATGACGCCCAAGCAGCAGACCGTCTCCACGCCCCAGCCGGCTCACCGAACCACCCCGAAGCAGACGCCCCGGTCGGCCAACCGCGGCGAGGCTAGGGTAGACGGCGACCACGGGCCGGAGCCCATTGCGGCTCTGCTGCAAGCTCTGAGCCAGGACAACAACAACAGCGCGCCTACGACGCCCACCACGGTGGTCAGACCCGCCCCCCGCATGCCTGCAAAGCACACGCGAAACGCCCAGTCTCTGTCCTCGCTGCCAACGACACCCCTGTCACGCGCCCAGCGCCACGAGCAGCAGTCGGGGCTCCTGCCGTCGGTGAATCTAGTCCCGCAGAGCGAGCCTCGGCACAGGTACAGCAACGCTCACACGGTTCCTGGCACGCCGCCGCCGGCCATCCAGCGACGGGTCCAGGAGCGCGCCCGCAAGAGCCGCGAGAGCACCATCTCGGCCGACGACAACGAGGAGCTCGCGCGCCAGGCCCTCGAGTCCGTCGCCAAGTCGACCTCGTTCCTGGCTCAGTCATCACGTGCATCACGCAACGGCCGCCGCCCTCTGCCCAACGGCGGCAGCAACGACGACGACGACGATGTCTATGAGAGCCAGGCCAGCCAGGCTGCTTCGGAGATGCTGCGTCGCGACCCGCGCGAGAGCTTCGAGGTCGCCAGCTCTGCCGGGTCGCCTGACGGCACGCCGGCGCCGGCGGAGAAGAGTGCCAGGCTGCAGGCGAAGTTGTTCTCTGGCATCACTAAGAGCGGTACGGACAAGCGCAAGTTCAGCAACGGCCACGGCCCCGGGCAGGACATGCGGTCAGACATGGTGAGCCCGCCCAAGAAGATGCGTGTCGGTGGTCCCATCGGTGAGAACCCGAAGGTCGGACTGGGCATCCAATACGGTTACAGTTGAAATCCGTCGGAGAAGAAAGACGGACACGGCGAGTCCTCTGGTCTCGGCTGCGCACTCCTGCCTACGCTTATTACAACCCAGAGCCTGTGTGCATACATCCATGCCGCGGGTGGTTTGTCCGGTGAGGTGGCTGGGTTTGAGGGCAAGAGAGCGGTGAGTGGGGATAGAACGGCGGCAGCGGTGGTGTTCCCACAGCTGAAGGGAGGGGGCATCTATTTTCTCCCCTTCGCTTTTGCTGCAGGTGCAGGGAATAATTCGACGTGGCATTCATGCAAGGTGAACTTTGGGCCGTGCACTATGGGGAACGCAGGTGTCAAAAACTGACATGCGCTCGCGCCGGAGGGAGCAGACTACGATACCGCTGTCACGTCGGTGAAGGTCTCGAATTTGGACGTCCTTTTCTCTCTCCTCTCCGCCGACACAGGCGGGAAGAGAGAAGCGAGCGGACGAGTGCGTGCGATATCTCGAGCAAATAGAATTAACGACCCGGGACGAGGAAATTTCATGATCAAGAGGCCGGCCATGCTTCTTTTGGGTTAACAACACATATTGTCTTATGGTAGTATCGTATTATAGAATGGATGATAAGGGCCCAGACTCCAACGGACGAGAGAGAGAGAGAGACAAAGAGTGGAGAGAGGGTCGAGGTATCCAAGGGTCGACAGCACTTGGACGGGGTCCAGGACCGAACCAAAAGGGGAGAAGATTTAAAAAAATGAAAGGAAGAAAAAAAAAAAAGGGCATTTCCTTCTTTTTGCTGCAGAATGAAGACACACGCACGTGCCAATACCGATCGATAATGCCCTGCTCCTTTCTGGGTCTGTCCAAATCGCATATTGTCTATCCGTATATCCGTCTTACATCACCCGCCCTGCCCCCCTCCCCGTTCCCACTTAAGCGCTGCCCATTTCGAGAGCCGCGCTATGCCTCATCCTTCATCTCCCTCGGGTTCTCTCTCACCATCACTTTCATTCTCTTGCTCTGTGTATCTCGCCGTCGCCTTTTGTCGTAATCTGCGACTCTTCTTCTCGCCTGTCCATTATATCCAACTTTTTTTTTTTTTTTTTTTTTTTTTACCTCCTTCGCCGCTTCTCGTGATCCTACCACCATCGTGTCCAACCCCCCCCCCCCCCCCCCCTCTCCCCAAAATAGACAGACCCCTTCTTTCCCGCCCCTGTGGTTCGGTTCGTTGCATACCTCGCCCATTCGTCCCCGTTCTCAAGGCATGCGCACACACGGAACACTGACACTGACACTGACACCGACGCACACGTACGCAGACAGACAGACAGAGCCTCGCTCGATCGTCCCAACGTCCGTCTCGTGATACAAAACCCCCTCCGCGACACTTGATCCCCCCCCTTTTCGCCCGTCTGTGCCCGCGCCATCGGCAAAGTTTAACTACACCACCGAGCCGTGACGCCTTATTTTCCGAGCCTCTACCCTGCGTTCAGACAGACAGACAGACGTACCGGAGAGGAGAGAGAGAGAGAGAGAGAGCTCGTAGATGTGACGGTATTATTCGTCACTACACGCGCGCCTCTAGCCCCAGTACTCTTCTTTAAACTTGCATGATTACGTCTCGTTTCCTTTCGTTCTAAAACCTTGATCCCCGCCATCGCCGGCCTACCTCCGAAAGGGTTTCATCTCAGCTTTAACAGTTCGTTCCATCTTCCCTCACAGCTTGTCATAGATCTCTCCAAGAGCTCGACAAATCGATTACGACTTCACCGTCAGTACATTTAGTGTAAAAAAAAAAAAAAAAAAGGAAATAAAAAGAAAAAGGGATTGGCACAGCACAAGCTCATCCATCCATCCAGTCTGACCATCGTGTGCGGCCTTTTCACTCACCGCCGCGCCCACTCCCACCCCGCGCCAAGGGACCCAATCCTGCCCCTCCCCTTCTAACACCCCTGCCGCATTCCGCAATCCCATCATCCCAGCAAGCCCACTTGGCTTCATTGATCGCCAACGAGAGACACCCTCTCGACCGCCAGCAATTATCATCCCTTAACCTCGACGCACATTTCAACCCACTGCACATAGCGCTTGTCCAGCACAACGCATCGCGACAATGAGGGGCCTCCCAGCAAGCCCCCGCTCAGCTTCCCCCGACCGCCTGCCGCGGCGACTTTCTGAAGAGCTCGGCGACTTCTCATTCTCAAGCGATGAGTACGACCAGGAGGATGAAGGCGAGTACGAGGATGAGAGCTGCACCGCAGTCGAAACTCCGACCTCCTCTCGCAAGTCATCACAAAGCGTAGGCAGCTTCTTCGATGAGGTCAACGCCTACCAGCAGCATCAACAGTTGCTGGACACAATATCCGAGTCAGAACGCACCGAGAAGAAGAACAACAGCCGGCCTTCAACGGCCGTCTCCCTGCCGCCCTTCCGCCGCGCATCCACCTGCCCTGTGCTGCCCGACGACTTTATCTCGAGCGCTGCCGAGGAGGTTGTCAAGATTATGCCCGATCAGGCCGATTTCATGAAACGCATGGTCGAGGGCTGGAGGGAAATCCAGCGCCGCTCGTCAGTGAGCGTCATGTCTCCCACCTCGCCACCGAGCGCCGTTTCACCCAGCACCGTGGCTTCGCCCAAGCGGCCTCACACGGCACCTTCGCCTCTTCATCCCGCCCAAATGTGTTTTGCATCCTTTCCGCAGACCGTCCCGGAGAGAGATGAGCCTGATAGCCCCACTGAATCGGTGGAGGAGGGCTTCTCTGGCATGGCGGATATGCTTGAAACTGTTGAGGTGACGCTCGACGAGCTGCGAGATCTAGCCAAGCAGCATGCGGGTGCGGCGATTGCGTCAACTTCGGCGAGCATGGCGGAGCAGGATGCAAAGTTCGCCGCCGTGACTAAGTGCATCGACGCCATAGGAAAGGTGTGCGAGAGGACGCCGGAGCCGGATTTGGATACGCAATTTCACAGGGACAAGCTCGACGAACGGTGTGTGCAGGCGCTTGTCCAGATTTGTGAAATGTTTGCGCGCGAGAGTGTCGAGCAGGACCAGTACCGGTTACGGTCTGGTTTCATGGCCGAGGATAGTGAGGATGATGATGTCGAATACGAGGGCGAGGATGAAGACGAGGGCGAAGGCGAGAGTGATCGTGAAAGCGATTGGGTAGACGAAGACGACGAGGAGGAGGCAGAGGAACTCCCGATAGACTCGGAACCGACCGAGTACGAGTCAGGAGACTTCCTCGGAGGGCCACCGACGGTAGAAACGGATAAGACTCTTCCTCCGCCATCACCAACTCTGAGATCATCAACGCCCACTCGACCGAAGACGGCAGAATGGAGAATCGAGGGGCCCGACACACCCCGCAGGCGCGCCCGGCTCGTCCGCGAGGCCAAGGCCGAGCTTGAGGCGCTGTTCTCCGAATGGGCCGCACCACAGAACTCATTCGAAGAGCGCCACTCCCGCATCGTGTATGCCACCGAGGCGTACCACCTACGTCTTGCCGACATGAAGTCAGCCCACGAGTTTGAGTTCAAGTGGAAAGACGAGCTCAAAGCCTATGACAAAGAGATGGAGAACAGAGGCCCCTTTGGTCCTGGTCCCAAGGTATGGGTCGTCATCGAACTGGCCCTGCCCCTCGCCCAGCTTTGGCTGGCCCTGTTCCTCTTGGTGGTCGACTATTTCGGACTGGATAAGTGGATTGAGAAACCCGAGTCCGTTTTCATGTTTCTGGCGGCCTGGGTGGCAAACGTGGTCTTCTTGGGACGCCTTTTAGAAGTCTCTGCCAGGAAGGACCTGTATGAGACCATGTTGCCTTTGGAAGCCAGGGAGATGCGAAAGAAGCACGATCGCGAGCTGGTGCTTCTGAAGGCGGCTCACGACCGCGCTGTTCAACGGATGTATCTCCCGGAGCAGCAGCCATAGATGTGAAAGAGGGGGTTGTTGAAGTGTATTAGTAGGCCTACACAATAGAAAGCCAGACCAGTGTTGGAATCCATTCCCCCCACTTCGCATGTCCCAATGTTAACGCCCATCATGCCAGTGTAGCCGCGAGACAGTCATGGCTCGTTTCCCTGATCAGGTACAGTGGCCGGGGTGTATACGCAAGAAGAGGTATAGGAGCAGTGGGCCCCAAGGCTCCTTCGACGTCCCTTGCCTGCTCTGGTATGGATACGGCTCCAGCCAGTAGTATCGGCTTCTTGCGAGGGTTCTTTGCTCCGCGACTGGTTCCGGCGAGTGTCTGTGCCAAGAATTGTCAGTCATTTTGATCCATATCGGCCGTCTATGGGACAATATGGCCTACGTGTTGGTGGGCAGAATCGTCGGTCTTATACAGAGATTGGCATCGCTGATTGTCAGACTTGGGCCAACAAAAGCAGACGCCACGGCTGACACAGGTCGAGCAACCGTTTGCGATGGTGCAGAGACCGACTACTCCGATGCAAATCCAGAGGGAAGCGTACATGGATAAGATTGTGGGTGTGAAGTCGATTCTAGGTGTAGATGGTTCTGCACACGTTGCAACGGAGGTCAACGGTGCAGATTCATTGCTTAGGCCGTTTCCTCGGTGCATCGTAGTGGGGATCATATCTAGCTGCGGAGGGCTGGTCAACATAGTGGGAAATGAGAACAAAGCGCACCGGACCATGAGCCTCACCTGCCTCGCTGTGAAAGCGCCTGGCTCGACAAAAGGGTCAGCTTGTTCCTGATAAGGCTTGGGATTCCGAGTGCATCGACATATCATGCTCATACATGTGAGTATGACAGCAAGAGGGCCAAGCAGGACAACGGGCGTGTGGAACAGTGTGGTCGGGAAGCCTTGAAAATCGTGCTGTTCTTTAGCGGCGGCTGTGATGGCAATACCGCTGGGCTCTTGACGTCTCGCGACACGGGTCGATGATGGTTGTGAGTCTTCCGTGTCCCACTCGCTAGATCCATCGGGCGTGGTGGTGGTAGCAGAATAAATCCGACGGTTTGGCTGGACAAAGCCAGGACGTGAGTATCTGTTTGCTTCCAAGTCGCTTGCGCGCCTCCGCGCGCGTAAGCAGGCCGTGAAGATGGTTAGGGACCATGTAATTATAGCAAAGGAGCCGGTAATGCATCCCATGATGATGGCGGCCAGAATCGCGGGATGGAGATTTCGGGTGTGCTCATCCTGATAAACATCGCCAAGACTATCGAGAGACTCATCGGGTGAAGCGTCATCCCATTTCTCGCTTTGAAACATTGATATCGACAACGGCGTCTGCAAACGATAATAGTATCCGCGTGGAGATATGTCATGAGCGCAAGAGTTGTTGGCTTCGATTCTGACGACCAGATATGCAACATACTTGTAGGTAAGTGACTGGCGGCGACGATGATGACGATGTTGTTGATAACAATGATGATGAGGAGGATGAGGGGGGAGAGGAGGAGGAGGAGGAGGAGGAGGAGGAGGAGGAGGAGGAGACAATAGAGAAGAGAGAAGAACAGAAAGAAGAGGGGAGGATGTAGACGAACCGACAGAAGTCGCTGCTTCCCGCCATGTTGATGGTATCATTAGGAAGGGGCAGGCGAGACTCCAGATTTACAGGGTCTCTCTTTCCCTCCCGGCGACCTTTGATGTTGCTGACTGATGCTGTTCTGCTCACCAAGGCAAGCGCGGCATTTCTCCCTCCCGCCCTCTTCTTGTTTCTCTCTCTCCTTCTCTCTCTCCGTCTCTCTCTCCGTCTCTCTCTCCGTCTCTCTCTCCGTCTCTCTCTCCGTCTCTCTCTCCGTCTCTCTCTCCGTCTCTCTCTCCGTCTCTCTCTCCGTCTCCCCGAATCTCGCACTCACGATTCCTACGGCGAGATAGAAAAGACGCAGTCACGACGGACAAACTTCCACCAGAGGAATGCATCTCCCGGTCGAGTGGAATCGATCCCATTCATACGTATAGATAGATTCAGTATCCAATGCCAATTCGTGCTAGCCCACCGGTAGGTTTATTTGCATGCATCCAACTCGACCATGTCGCCTCCTTACACTACCGCCAGCTTGGGCACTCCCGACCGAAGAAACGACTCTGGAAGCTTAAACTGGGGATCAATCGTTCTCATGTGGTGAGCTACATCCTCCAAGATATCGTAGTCAAAGTGGAAGTCGTAGAATCCCTCTGGGCTTGCTGTCCCGACGTTAGATGCAAACTTGACCTAGCTGAATTCGAAGATACAAGAGAAGGACTCACTTGGGATGCGATCGGCCGGGACGAACTCAGACGCAGCCTCTCTGATCTTGCTTGCCTCGTCCTGCGCCGCATTACTGAATACTGTCACTGCACTGGCCCTGTTCCTGCGGATCCCCTCAAAGATTTTGAGCCTCTCCGGGACCTCGACCGCCGATGTGACATTGGAAAAACAAACCCCGAGAGCAACACCGTCTTCTATTGCCTGGGCGCCTCCTTGGCCCTGATCTGTGATCAGTCAGTAGGTTAAGACCATGCAAGGTGGAAGCCCGTCTTCTCTTACGGGGAAGCATTGGATGAGCGGCATCACCAATGAGAATCATTCGGCCTTTCCTCCACGTCGAAATGGGGGCCCTATATAGCAACGGCCATTGCTTGACTTCGTCCGCTTTTCTGCATGCTGTCAGGTTCATCGAGGCCATCAATACACCGAGACGAAGGCACCCACTCTAGAAGAGAAAGCACAGCGGGGTGAAAGTCGGAAAAGCGACCCACGAGGTGAGACTTTTCGACCGAGTTATGCCAGTCTGTGACGCCAGTTAGCTTTCCCTCTCCTCGCCTCGTTTATTGCTCGAACAATGGCGACCCCTCCACCCCGCGACCGTGTGAGCTGACCTTCTTTACTAGATGAGCCGACCTCATTATGGAATATGGCGATACAGTTGAGAACCTCGCCGCTACCTCGCATTAGTTCAAACTTCCTGACGCACGGCCAAACGCCAGACGAACTTTCGACATGGATACGTTACTATCCTCTTCCCGTCCCCGAGGAACATCCTGACGCCTTCTCCAGGGCCCCCGAGCAGCTCAGACGTTGTCGGATCGGACGTCACATGCTCCATCGGAATGAGGAACCGATAGCAGAAGTTGTCCTGCGCCCCGGGAAACGCAGGATTGGGCGACCCAAGGATCGCTTCAACCCCGCCGCTGTGGATGCCGTCCGCGACGACGACTAGGTCTGCGGAAACGATAGTCCCATCGCGGAGGGTAAACCGAGCCCCGTCGGGGTCCTGGGTGGCTGTCGTCAGCGCGCAACAGGCATCATGTCCACAAGTCCGCTGGTACCCACGTAGCTCGTGACTTCGCTCCTCAATTTGAAGGTAACCGGCGGCCCCCCGTCATCCGCCGTCGCCATTCGCTTCAGCTCCTGGTGCAAGTCGACGCGATGTGCAAAGTACCACGGCGAGCCATACTTCTTGGCGACAGCGCCCAGGTCAAGCTCGTGGACTGGTTGCAGGGTGTCCCCCATCACCCGCCGGCTGCCCTTGGCTGTCACAAACCTAGCTCGTACAGGGTCCATACCGAGCGCCAGGAGGGGGCGCGACGCGTTAGTTTGCACATTGATCGCAGCTCCAACCTCGTTGTTCAGTGCCGATTTCTCGTAGATGGTCACGGGGTGACCAGCACGTCGAAGTGCGATCGCGGCCGTGAGCCCAGCGATACCGCCGCCGATGATGGCAATGTCGAGCATAATTTATAGCACCGGAGGCAGCCTGTCGCGGTCACTAAGAAGCAGCCGAATTGTCGCGCGATGGCAAATGCGGGTATCAGTGTATTTGCGTGTGGTGATGGATCGAGTGAAGAGGTTTAAGACATGTAGCGAGTGAGGGGGTCGTGCCACTCTCAACAAACAGACCATGAACTTTATTGATTGCTATTCGGGCAAAGCTTTCTTGATCCCGCCATCGTCAAAGCTACTGGCGCCGTAGCTCAGCGGCTGGCTATTAGCGGACTATCTCAATGTCTATGATCCGATCTGCAAGCGCCGGCGCGCCACTTAATGCATCAGTTGTGGAACACATGTTTTTGGGGGAAGAGGTTGGTCTCATTCCAGCGCCGAGGAATGGATCCAGGAAAGCGGAAGGCAACAGAATTTGCCATTGATTCGTTAATTCAACCAAGTCGACACTGACAAGCTTGCCCTTCAGCTAACATGTGGGGGTTCCATCTACCTATCTAATAATTGTTGGCAGTACATTGTAAGTGGATGCTATGCGTCGGGTCGGACCGGATCGTGGGGAAATCCCGATGAAACACTGTGGCTGGTCGATAAAGAAAAACTGCCCACGCCTCCGCAAGCTCGCTAGCCAGTCGTTCGGCGAGAATCTCGCGCTGGACGGATGACACGATAGCCTTCAAGGGGGGTGAGCTATCTGGGCTGTTGCACAACCTTGCCTGGGCTATTGGTGTACGTGACAGTGGCCAGGAGACCCAAGTGATATGCTTTGACAAAAGCAGCGACCTTGGATCAAAGAACAAAGGAATATGTGAAAAAAGTAACCTTTAGACGAATGGAGGTTGATAGTCGAGGCTCAAACTCAATGCCCCCCTCACCCCTGCTATACGACTGAAAGTATCGTTGGCGAGACTCGAGAGTCGGCAATTATAAAAAGCATGCCATCGTCATGAGGTTCAATACCATGGTTGTGATATTGCTGTTCGTGTCGATTGGCTTTTCCACCTTGCGGTTGGTCTCGGGGATGTCAACATCGTCCAATCTGCAGTTCACCCAACTTGATGGCACGTCGGCGGGTTGATATGGAACCGGTCCTTGCACGACGAACCGCCGGCCGCCGACCGTCCTGACTTCCGTCACGGTCACCCCCGGCATAGACCAAGTAATGCGTCACTAGGTTTCGAGTTAACAGCATGTGCCTAGTAAAGGGCTAGGAACCCCGCCTACATAAAGGCCATAGCCTCCCGTCATAGTAGACAGACTATTCACGGTTTGGAACCAGCTTTTAATCAAATCGTTGCAGCCTTTGGCTCCTGTTCCTACATGGATGAGCATAGCGCACCCCGGGACGGCTAGAGATACGAGCCCGAATGCGAGACCGACCCCGCTAACCTCAGAAACAAGCTACCAAGCGAAATAGTGAGCTTGGTATGTTTAGATGGGTCCAGCTGAAGTAGTATTTAAACTTGGGAGGTGACACACTGTTTCAACCCGCTGTCCTTAGCTTTTCTCTCTGCCCCATTCCGTAGCTTCAGAGCTCTAAAAGAAGATGGCGCTGTTTTCTCTTGGTTTAGGCAATGTCCTCGGTGTGGCTCTTGGTTTCGTAAGTCTAGCCTGAACCGGCAATCAAACAGCTCGACGACTGCAGTCGAGCCCAATCTAACGAACCTCTCTCGTGATAGGCAATCGCTTACTGCCTCGTTCGTACTTTCTACAACCTGTTCCTTCACCCTCTAGCAAAGTTTCCGGGCCCGACATGGATGCGAATCTCCCGCGTGCCATTCTGCTACAGGCTTCTAACAGGAACCCTCCCCTTCGACGTGCTCGAACTGCACAAGCAGTACGGCCCCGTGGTGCGTATAGCACCTGACGAGCTGATCTTCCACGATTCTCGCGCATGGAAAGACATCTTGGGCCACAAGGGCCAAGGTGATGTGGAAATGGAGAAATCGCAAAAGTTTTATCGCGCTGTTCCCAACGCTCCGTCCGATATTATCAATTCCGATCGCGGGGAGCACTCCAACCTACGCCGTGCGCTGGCGCATGGCTTCAGCGAGCGCAGCATCCGCTACCAGCAGCCTATTGTCAAGAGCTACGTTGACCTGCTCATCAAGAGGCTCCACGAGCATGGACAGGGCGGCAGCAAGGCACTGAACTTGGCAGCATGGTACAACTACACGACCTTTGATGTCATTGGCGACCTCGCCTTTGGTGAAGCTTTTGGATGTCTAGACAGCTCCGACTACCACCCATGGGTCAGGTCAATTTTCCAGTTGGTGCGTTTAAGCACAGTGGTACAGACGGGGACCCACTACCCATTTGTGTTGAGACTCATGATGGCCATGGTTCCTGAGAAAATGAAGCGCGGGAGGGAGCAGCACGAGGAGCTCACTGAGGCAAAGTTGAAGCGACGCATGGATCTCGGACATGAGCGACCTGACTTGATTGAGGGCCTCCTGAGGAGAAAGGAGGACTGGGTATGTGGCTCGGGACGTTTCCAAAGGTCCAGATGGACTAACGGGGATGCAGAATATGAGCTTTGCAAATCTCAAGGCTAACAGCAGCGTCCTCATCGTTGCCGGATCCGAAACCACGGCAACTCTGCTATCCGGTGCTACTTACTACCTACTCATGAACCCGGTCGCTCTCCAAAAACTGACGGATGAGATCCGATCGACCTTCAAGGACGAGAGCGAAATTGACTTCCAGTCCGTTGGCAACTTGACCTATCTGCTCGCATGTCTCGACGAAGCGCTGCGACTATACCCTCCAGTGCCTATCGGTCTACCCCGTACTGTTCCCCAGGGGGGGGCGAATATTGCAGACCACTATGTTCCCGAGGGCGTAAGTTTACACACGTACCGACGGGCATCGCAGAGGCAAGCGACTAACATCGAGGCCCAGACAACGGTCTCTATCTACCAGTGGGCCATGTACCACTCCGAGAAGAACTTCCGCGATCCCTTCGGCTTCCATCCTGAAAGATGGCTGCGAGATCCAGCTTTCGAGAGCGACGATAGGGAGTCATTTCAGCCGTTTCACATTGGAGCCCGTAACTGCATCGGCAGAAAGTGAGTTGACCGACCCATGAACACGAAATCCATTGTTACTGACAGGAGCACGGCCTCAGCTTGGCGTATGCCGAAATGCGTCTCATTCTCGCCCGCGTTCTCTGGAACTTTGACATCAAGATCGCCGACGACAGTATCGATTGGGCTCCCAGGCAGAAGATCTACATAGTGTATGAGAAAGAACCGCTCAATGTCTACTTGAAGCCGGTTCAGCGTTCTTAATTAAGGAAGTGAGGAATTGTGTGGAATGCGCGAGACAAGGCGTCTCGGCGCCGGATACGTAAAAGCTTCGCTTTGCTAAGAAGCATGGGCTTGAAGTTATCTAGGTACGTGGGGGGGAACCACATATTGAAAGAATGCTATGAATATTATAGCCGCGAAATTACCTAAGACATACAAAGTTCTTCCGCTCCGAACAGCTGTTTTCAATTGACGGATATAGTTGCTTTAAACCCAGTTCACCTGGTACATATATATGTATTATCAGGATACGTAAAACCAGATACGTAACGCCGTCATCTGTCCTGTGCCACATTTCAATCTCTTAATACGGTATAGAATACGTTATAACGCAGAGCAACTGCCGAATTGGTCTTCTCTTCAACCATGGCCTGAATGCATACGCAAAGGCGCCAGTACGTCAGCGACAACCGACTATGATGGCACTGTCGAATCCACCAATAAGGTCGTGACAGTTGCCAGATTTGATCGCCAGTAACTTTGCTAGCTGTATCCCCGCTACATGCCCTTATTGCATACCCCCGTTGAATGCATATATGTGGGGCAATTCTTATCGCCTTTACAGTAAAGCTTTCTCACATCACGTAACTCAACTCATTCATTGTCGTTGATGACTCAGTGCATCATCCATCACCATTATTCGATCCAACCCGGCGAGGTACCGGACTTTCCAAGATGGAGTGGTCGACATACATCTGGATCGCAGTTGCTCTTTTCATGCTCGCGCGCGTAAGTAGCATTTCTTAGGCCATCAAGTCGTGCGACCACGCCTCGATGCCTCTACCTAGTCCCTCATCACGAACTCCATCGGGCGGGGGCAGTGCTGCCATCACACATGAAAATCTGCTGACGGACATCTCTCAAGACGTTGCTCGCGGATCGCTCGCCCATCCCCGAGACGTCGGGCAAGGTCTTCAAGGTATCCAGCACCGCGGAGCTGGACACCGTCCTGGCCTCCAACAAACATGTCGTGGTCGACTTTTACGCGGACTGGTGCCCGCCCTGCCGCGCCATCGCGCCCATCTTCTCCGAGCTGGCCGATAACCACGCCTCCGACGGTCGCCTGGCCTTTGCCAAGGTGAATGTCGACCACGTGAACGCGGTCGCCGGGCGGTACAATGTCACTGCTATGCCGACCTTTGTCTTCTTCCAAAACGGCAAGCCCCAGGGTGTAAAGGTGGAGGGCGTCAGTCCCAAACAGACTGTTGTCATGAGTAGTGAGGGCCTAGTGGAAAGGGTGAGGGGCGCGGACAGGGCGAGCCTGCAAGCAGTCGTTCGGGCCTTGGCTAGCGAAGGAGGGCAAGGCTCAAAGAAGGAGTAATGAGGTGCACCTGGTCAGAGCCATGAATAAGTCAACCTTAACAGAGGAGTCTCCATAGGGCGAGTTTACCCCTAACTGTCGACGCAATCAAGTCCGTGTCCATTTCGTTGCCATACTCCAGCTACTTCCTCTCCATCCAAACCAAGATTGATTTCAGAAATGGGCGAGCGAGCTGTAAGACAAGGAACCGTCCACTGTATATTAGCATTCTTTTGCGGAAGTATTACGAAGCAGTATCACTCAAGGGGCAGTTCATGCAATTAAAAGCGGCTTGTTACTTAATATAGTGCCGCGCCACGAGGCGCTTCTAAATGCTGCATGTCTAAGTTGGATTCAATAATCGTGCCAAGAACAACTGGAGAAAAACATGCAGGCGTACAGCATTTTTATTCTCCCCCCCCCCAGGGGATGGACGGACTTTGCTCTATCCATGTGTAATCCCACGCTCCAATGACCAACAGCCCTAGCACCGCCAACCCTCGGCTCGAAACTTCAAGACAACGGACGACTTGCTCTCCAGTGCCACTAATAAGTAATTGGCTTGCGTCACGCTTTACCGGCAAACACGGAGACCAATATCACTTCACAAAAAAGATATCCAAGAGAGCGGGTAGCAAGTTTTCTAACAGGATCATACTTCTAGGTATCTATTAAGACTTTAAAAATAAGAGATGAGGCAGGGCTCACCCTTTCCCAAGGGTACTCCCCCTTGGCCCAATTGAGGATGGAGATGGCGAATACACACACAGGATATCTCAGTCTACCATGCCAAAAGATACATGTAGAAAATAAAAATAAAAATAACAGCCTCGGATCTGCCAAAGGCCAGTAAACGGAAGCGGGTTCGTAGGACATCATCTCTCTTGTTGCGAAGTTTGCACCCGGCCCACTCTCCTCTCTAAAAACGGCTCGTTCATTACATTGATATATGTGTCACAATTGTTGGGTGTAGTTCTTTCTTCTCTTCTTTCTCATCTTTCATCCACTCATATAAGAGAACCAATACTTCCTTCTTTTTTTTTTCTTGACCGGTTGTTTACTCGGCCTTCTTCTTGCCAAAGAGGCCGCCCTTCTTTGGCACTCTGGCCAGCCAGTACAGACCCAGCGCGGCAAATACGTTGAAGATGATGTAGACCCAAGAGATACCAAAGTTCCTCCAGCGGTCTGCGTAGCTGCTCTTGACACCGTCCAGGAACACGTTGGTGAACTTGATCGGGCAGAACTGGCAGTCGGTGGTGGCGTTGTTGTCCCGGAGGTATCCGCCTGCCGCCGATATGTAGTTGGCCATGAACCGCTCGCAGGTCTGTCCGGAAGGAGGGTCGAAGTGAAGGAATTCGTTGGCTGCACACGCAATCTCGGTGTTTGCAACGGCGGTTGACAGCATGCCCGACACAATGTATGTGAAGGGCGATAGACGATACATGAAGATCCAGAAGCGGGGGAGGGTGTCGGGGTTGGCGAGGACACCGCAGAAGATGAGGCAAAGCATGAATAGCAGGTTGGCAATGTTGCCTCCTGCCTCTGCGGTCTCGAAGCCCGCAATTATGAAGTCGGTAAAGGTCGAGGTGAAGAGCAGGAAGACGAGGAGGTAGAGGAACATGAGGGCGCCACGCTCCGTGACCTGGTCGGCGGGAATAGCGTTCTGGTAGAGACCGACAGGGTAGTACCAGCAGAAGTACATGATAACAGCCATCAACGTGTTCCACGGGAGTTCGACAATGATCTGGCTGAGCATGAAGACCTTCCAACCATACACCTTGGAAGGGCGCTCTCGCGCCTCATACAAGGACCGCTGGATAACGAAATAGGGCATGGTCTGCTGGACAAGCTGGCCGAAGACGGTGAGCAGGTTGAAGATGGCAAACATCTGGTTCTGGAGACCCTGTTGGGTGTTGGGGGCCTTGAAGAAGACGAAGCCGATGAAGGCTGCAACGAGCGTGCACAGGGCGGTCTTGGCGTAGATGTACGAGGGGGTTCTCCAGTACTGCTGGAAGACACGGTGGGTAACCTCCTTGAGCTGACCAAAGAAGGGAGCGGCAAATTCGTTGTAGCTGTTCTTGTCCTGGGAAGGGGGTTGCTGGACGCCACGTTCGTCCTTGAGCCTCTGAAGTTCGGCCTGGACGTCGGTGTACTCCTGGGAGTTGCGCCACGCCTGGTGCCAGTCAATGTCGGTGTGGGAGCCGGGCGCGGCACCGATAACTTCCAACATCCATTCGGCGGGGTTGGCATCGCTGGGGCAAGGGAAGCCGCCGTTGCGCTCAAAGTAGGCCGTCATGGTCTTGGAGTTCTCGCCAATGTCGCCAAAGTAGACAGTGCGGCCACCCTTTGCGAGGAAGAGGAGACGATCGAACCGCTGGAAGAGCATGGCAGAAGGCTGATGGATGGTGCAGAGAATAGCCTGTCCGCTCTTGGTCAACTTCTCCAAGAGGTCGAGGATGGCCCACGAGGTCTGCGAGTCGAGACCGGAAGTGGGCTCATCGACGAAGAGTAACAGAGGGGGCTTAGCGACAAGTTCGACACCAATAGTCAGACGCTTGCGCTGTTCAACATTAAGACCTTCACCAGGGACACCGACAACGGCGTCAGCGTACTCCTCCATATCCAACAGCTTAATAACCTCCTCAACGTAGTCAAGCTTCTCCTGTTTAGGGACGTGCTCAGGCTGACGAAGAAGGGCACTGAAGTTAAGGGCCTCGCGGACGGTGGTAGTCTGCAAATGCAGATCCTGCTGCTGGACGTAACCCGTCTTGCGCTGGAAGGAAGCATCGCGGTGCCAACCGTCGACTAGCATCTCACCGGTGATGACACCCATGGAAGTGCGGTCAGCCAAACAGTCGAGAAGCGTCGTTTTGCCAGCACCCGAGACACCCATGAGGGCGGTCAGGGTGCCGGGCTTAACCCAACCGTCAACATGATCCAGAATACGTCTTGTTTCGTTCTTGATTCGGACATCATAGCAGACATTGTTCCAGTGGAAGGTGGACTTCTGCTCCTCGATAAGACCATCGCTCTTCTCGTTAAAGCGTTTGCGCTCAGCAGTGGTGACGGGTCCAACGCGGATGTCTTCGGGGTCGTCGGTGTACTTCTCGACGAGGGCAGCGGGCTTGTGTCCGCGGCGAAACACGAGAACCTCACCCTTGGACTGCTTCTCTGAAACCAGCTCGGCAGTGACCATGTACGTCATCAGGAAGAAGAGCATAAAGGCAACGAGGATACCAAAGTCGCGCCAGCGGTGAGCGTAGCTGTACCGAAAACCAGACTGGACATAGTTGTCACCGTTGACAAAGTCAAGACCGGCAACAGCGCCGATGGCGTTGCAGACACGCTGAGAAGCGGGCAGGTTCTGGTATCCGGGGACAGCGGGGTTGGGCACGAAGCTGGACTCCAAGCACCTAAAGTTGCGGCCGTGGAACTCATTGACAATCAGGGCCTCAAAGGCGTACGCTAGGGGATCAAGGTAGTTCAACCAGCGGCACCAGCCCAACATGTAGTCGATGGGGATGACAAAGCCGGTGAAAATGACGAGGTCCAAGATGAGGATGGCAGCCGGAACCATGGCTTGCGACAGGGTTCGGGAAGACGAGGCGATGGTTCGAAAGATCATGGACATTGTTAGGACGGTGAAGAACGATATTAGGAGGAAGAAGAAGAATGCTCCGGGCTCGCGGCGTAGGTTCGTTATAAAGTAAAGGATTAGGTTGAAGACGATGGTGTTCGTGATCTTGTACGGCATATCGCACAGCATGGACGCGACGGCCTCAGCGGACGGGTGGTACAGGGCGTAGCGGGCGTGCTTCTCGACAATTGGGCGTTGGGCATACAGCGTGAGAATTTCGAGGGCACTGGAAAAGGCGTTCATGAGCAGAGCGAAGAATAGCAGGGAACCACGCTGGAAGAAACTGTCGGTGGTCATTTGCAGGTTGTAGAAGACACTTCCAATGATCAGACCCATGGCGACGTTTCCGATGAGAGAACCGGCAGTGATGCTGGGATCACCGATCAGGCGGCGGTATCCACGCCATAAGCAGAGCTGTACCTGTTGCAGGTAGGACAGGGTGAAGGGAGACTTGGTGCGCTGTCCCTTGGCCTGCTGGGCCTTCTTGGAGGCACGGAAGGCCTCGGCGTCGGGCCCGTTAAAGGGGTGAGACTGCTTGTACTCCTCGATCTCGGCCTGCAAGGCCGTGTAGTTGGCGCTGTTCTTCCACGCGGTGGCGAACTCGTCGGGGGTACGAGGCGCCTTGTTCTCCCAGCCGGGACGGACGTGACGCTCGTGGGGACTCGTCATGGAGGTCAGGAAATCGGGCGTGGTGGCGCGGGCGGGGCAATCGTAGCCCAGATCGATGAAGTATTGCTTGGCATCGGTGGCCCTGCCGAAGAAGATCTGGCGACCCTCGTACAGGACGACGACCTTGTCGAACAGGTCATAGGCGCTCTGAGGGGCCTGGTAGATGGACACGCAAGCGGTGCTGTCGAAGAGCTCGGTCTGCAGGCGGAGCGTCTTGCAGAATTCGATGGCGTTAGCGGAATCCAGACCACGAGTACTGTTATCCCAGCACTGGAGGGGGGCGCCAGAGAGGGCGGCCTCGGCAATTGTGACACGCTTGCGTTCACCGCCGGACACACCACGGATGTACTCGTTACCGACACGAGTATTGACGGTGTGGGAAATGCCGAAGAGAGCCATGACGACGTCCCTCAGGTGCTGGGCGAAGGTGTTCTTATCAAGGCCCTCGGGAAGCTGGCGGGGCTGACGCGCGCGGGCGGCGAAAGTCAGAGTGTCGCCGACAGACAGCTGGGGGAAATGGACGTCCACCTCGGCCGTGTAAATGGCCTCGCCGCGATGGTGGGTATGCATCTCCTTGGCGGTCATTCCTGGAAGAGGGTAGCCATGTCAGCAATGGAGGGTTCATATTTTGATGTTACACGAGGCGTGGGGCGCTCGCGTGTGTCTTGAAAGCTAGACTTGCTGGCGCCAATGACACATGGAGCCCCTGCCACCTTGTATCGGGGTGTCGTTTGCGCTACTTACCCTGGTAGTTGAAGTAGGAGGTATCGTCCGTGTAGAGACCGTTTGTCTCACCGGCAATAGTCTTGAGGAAAGTCGAGCAACCGGAGCCGGGAGGGCCCAAAACAACCAGCATCTCACCCTTGCGAACGAGACCATCAAAGTTGCGGAGAATGTCGATTCTCGTCTGTCCGCCGCCGGTGAACTTGCGGGCCAGGCCAATGGCGCTCAGCCAAATGTTGCCGACGTCCTTCTGGTAGTCGGTAGCCTGGCCGAAGCCGAAAACGTTCAGGTTCTGGAAGGCGATACCAGAGGTGCGGAACGAGGCGCCATTCTGAGAGACGAGGTCGACAACGGCGCGGGCCCAGGCGCGGCCATTAAAGTTGGGCGAGTTGGGGTTCAGGGGCGAGGTCTCGTCGGCGAAGAAGGGGTTTCCTCCTCCGGCGGCGGCGGAGGCGTGGGAGTACTTGCGGGCTAGTGAATGCACTAGGGAATGTCGGCGCTCCATCTCGGAATCGTCATCGCCCACGGCGGAGATCTTGTCGCTTTGCTGGGGAGTCAGGGGCTTCTTGTGGGTCGAGTCGCTAGGGGCGACGTCGGTGACGGAGGTGGCGGCGGTATCGACAGCATTCTGGTTTGCAGCAGCGATTTCTTCCTCCTCCTGGTGGTTGGCGCGGCCAGGGGTGATGGGGACACCAGACGTTTGTGCTGTGCTATCGTAGTTGGGGATGGAAGCCATCCCGGCGAAAGCCATGGCTGACCGTGGGGAGGGCGGTCGTTGCCGCGGGCCCAATGGTCAAGATTGCCGGGCTTGCCACAGACGGAAGGCAGTTAGACGGAAGGGTGTTACAAGAACCACCTGCTCGACAGTGATGGAATGTATCGGTTTGGTGTTTGTAGTTCTCGCTCGGCCGTCGGGTTTCAAAAAAAACACGAGGGGTAGGTATTCGGATCGTGACCGGTATTAGTGACTAAGGGCCTACCTAAGGATACCTAGAAGTAGGTGGAATTAAAGGACCGACACGAAAAGAAGGTATGGGAGAGGAGAAGAGGGAAGGCGAAAGGGTAAAACTGAAGATGATGGTCGGAAAGGGTAGAGAGGGTATGTATAAGAAGCAGCCGTCAGATGGAGTCCGGGTGCAGTTGGTGGTGCTCTACATACCCATATTTATCCGTACCTGGGTAGGTAGTCAGAGAAATAATCATAACAGAGGTGACCCCGGTACCTCGGGGATACCAGGATGAAGGTACGGCCGCTTCGAGGGGCAAGTATGCGCACGCTAAGGCTGGAAAGAAAATACGCGGAAGAGAAAGGGAAGAAAAAAAAAAGAAAGATGGGACGACATGGAGCTGGGCCCGAGCTGGTGCGCAGGGGGGGGAAGGGGCGGGCAAATGACCAAAAGAAGAGAAAACGGCGAGAAAAGCACCATGTAGTCTGTATTTAGACAGGTACGAATACTCGCAGACTTACGACGTACTGTGTAGGTTGAGGATAAAATAGATCAAACAGGAAAGCCAAGACACCGCTGGCAATGCTGGCCAATGTCCGTCTCATCGCTCAATGGATACACTTCACCATGACAAAAATGACAGACGATGGAACCGTCCCGAAGAGGGATAAGCTATATGGTCACTATGCATGTCTTGCTGGCCTGTACTAGGTACCCAGGCACGCCAAATCAGCCGAGAGAAAGCAGTAGGGCGCATTCGTGACAAATGTCTACCTACCTACCCATCACCTACCTGATAGGTAGGTAGGTAGTAGAGGTAGGTACCTCTCTACCCAAAGATATACGGCTCCAGCATGGCAGCGATACGTACCTCCGATCTGGGTTCGAGAAAAGGTACGTACTGACTCCGTCAATTCGACGCACCACCGCGACGACACCCTAGCTTGGTTCAGGGCCCTAGCATCTTACCTACTTGAATACACACAGCACCCGTACGTGTTGATAGCGCTTACTACGTGGTGTAAGCAAACAGTAGCGGGCGCATGTCCGCCTTGGCTGCGGAGAGCCCAAACTCCGCAACCCCAGTGGGAGGGAGTACGGCGGAGATGATAAGGTAGGGTACGTGCCTCTGGGAACGTGTAGTGTGTGCCTACTACTACTGAGAGTTGCACCACTGCCACGTGGATACGGCTGCGATAAAACAGCCGAAACTATGATTGATCCTCATGGATGGTTGTTGAGGAGGGCGAGAAAGCGACAATGCGAGAAGGTCAGGTACCTACTTGATATGTGGATTCTGTGGACACGGTATACTGTTAGTTGGTGGTAACGGACGGAAAGTTAATCGGGGACAATTAAGCACAGCCACGGCGATCTAGGTATCTGCCTTTGTTACGACTGCACCTGGACTTCATCTCACCGTCACCGTCACCACCACCGCAGCGGAATTGGCAAACGGCGGGCTGTCTTTACTCCGGATGACATTGGAGTGTGAGCCAGAATCCGCACCTTGCTGTGTGTAAGCTTACACCAATATCTGGCTGCTTCGTAGGTATACGCTACTACGTACGGAGTACCTAGCCAGAAAACGCAGCGCCGTGGCAGTGTGGCATCCCACCGACCCCAAAAAGAGCACCCGTGCTCACTCACACCGACCCATGTCCCGGCCTGGTGGATACCTCAAGCTGCTCTCAGACGCCCATCCCATCGGCGTCTTGCCAGTTCCCGAGGCCACGAAACTCAACGGCGCAAGACTACCTAAGGGTATAGGTATTCGGGACTGGGGTGTGATCTTGCATCATCAGCCGTGCAGGGTACATCATGTGCGGAGAGTGTTCGAAGCTCTAGGGCCTACGTATTACCGACATTTATCCGTACGAATCGGCAGACAGAACCATGAGTACGAATAACCTAATGGCGGGGCTCATGCAGTATCCGTACTTATTACCTACCTACGGTACAGAATAACGTACAGTACAACTGCGTGAGCGGGCAGGCAGGCACCTGGCCGTTGGGGATGGATGTTCTTCCGCCGGGCGGGATAGCACGCGAGACTGACCAGCATCAGCCCTGCAGTCAGGAGCAAACAAGGCTCAAACGGTCACTTTACGAACGAGTATACGTACACCACCTACCTAGGTAGGTAGTGAATGTACAGATACGGTACAGGATTATTCTCAAGTGGGGTCCAAACCTCGATATGAGTTTTTGTCCTGAAAGAAACAAGAATGCGCAGTAACTGCGTACCTAGCGTGTCCTGCCTCGGACACATACATGCATGTATGTGTACGGCAGCGTTGACGTCCATCCCTGTTCCTCCCGCAACCAACCAAACTCCGCCGTCACTGCTTGCCGATCACTCCTGTTCTGTTTCTTTCAGCCAGAGTTCAGAGTTGGCAGGCGCAGGGTTCGCAAGTTCCCGCTCTCCGGCGACCCCATTATCTCCCCCTCGTTACCGAAAGAAGCGGCAGTAGGTACGATCCGTACCCGGGGGGGAAGTGGCAGGCAGGTACCTATCTGTGGTAGGTGTCTACTACGTAGAAAAGTACGTGCCTCGTCTCGCTTGCAGTCTCGCCCGGCGTCCAATTGCAGTTTGGGAATTCGGTGGACCTTGGAAGGTGGGCGCATTACGTATCTTTATCTGGCTAGTTCTTTTCGCTCCACGTGAGAAAGGGGGCGACCGCAATCCTACCGGTAGTAAAAAAGACGCAAGCGAGCTTACGGTACTGCCCTGCTTCGGGCTTTTCGAGCACCCCGAAAACCCGCACCTTCTCCCCTGGACCGCATCCACACCTGCGCCTGCCGGTGCTTCTCCTCGTCCCGTCCTGCCGTAACCGAAAAAGAAGGCGTCAAGGAAGTGAAGTGAAGGAAGAAAAGAAAGCGCTAACCACCAACATGGATCCCACTGGCGACGACGCGTCCTGCGCCCTTTTTGCCAATCTCGCATCTCGCATCTCGCATCCACAGCCCTTCGCCCGACATTCTCACAAACGCCTGCCTGAGAGCGGTCGCCCGCGTCTCTAGCTCCCTCGCCTCGCCTTGTCGTCGTCTGTCTATTTTTTTTCTTTTCTTTTCTCTCTTTCCCTATCTATACGTACAGAGTGAATTGCACTCGGCTGCTTCGAACCACAGCTATTGACAGAACCTACAGACGGAGGGATAATGAGCTTACTTGATTGCACGACGGATATTTGATACTTGATTCCCGGCCCCGGCTTGACATGCTTCACGAGCGACCCGACAACAGCAGCCCCTCCACATGTTCCGGAAAGGAAAAAACATAAAAATAAAAATAAAAAACAAGCGCCACGGCCCTATCTCGATCATGTTGCACCCGCGTATCCAACTACCTAAGCGATCACCGCTGCAGATTTACGACGGCTTTACGATCAATATGTACCTAGGGAGGAACCCACAATACTAATACACTTCCCAGTCCTCTCCACTAGCTACCTAGGCCCAAGCCATCTTGTCACCCGTACCCGAACACGACCCGAGATGTATAGAGTACGTACCGATAGATCCCGTCGGAACCCTAAGTGGTACGTACTGTCTGTCTGATTTCGCACCTACCTACGATGGTGCCCCCCACTCCGTCCGCCGACCCAAGAGAAGTAAGGAAGGAGTCTGTCTCTGTCTCCCCGTGCCGGCTCTTGTTCGTCCATGAGACGGGCTCGGTGCCAACGATTGGACTCGTTGGGAATGTTCCTTCTGCCCTTCCCCGCCCTCATTGCTTGTTTCTGCGTCACGCATCGCATTCAAGCAAGACAGCCAAACTAGCAACGACGACAACAAGAACAACAATAATACCCCATCAGTTGTCGGCGAGGGAAAACGGCCTTGTCGCACAGTTGTGCCTCGTCCCAACACACTGACAACCGAACCTTGGTACTAAGCGCCATTTGACGGCATCCATCCTCGACGGCCAAGTTGATAGGATCAGGATTCGGGAACAAAGCTTGGTTCTCAACTTTCCCACTGACCCCCCCTCTCGGACCAGACGACCCACAATGGCAATCCACCCCGGCCTTGGCTTCGTTGTGCTGTGCAAGCAATCATCAAAAGCCAAGTTTCCCTCCTCCCCCTTCACCGACAGGGCCAGCCCCGACCCCCAACTCCAAGTCCGATCCCGCCATTCGCCAACATGCCTAACTCGCCTCATATGATGTACAATGGCCATCATTCACAGGTGAATCTCTGAGACATCTGTCGAGCCTCATCCGCATCACGCCGCCGTCATTGGTCATTTAGCATTCAACCGAGGCCCACCAAGCAATTGAGACATTTTGACCATGCGCATGGCTTCGCGAGACGAGTCTCAATTCTCCACAATACGAAACAGAACGCGCAAAGGTTCAAAAGCCGCAAGGTCGCCGTGGCTTGTAGAGTGCTATACCGCAATAGGAAACATTGCCATAGGGGTACCGTCGTCGTCGTACATCCACCACTCATTTCAAGGACCGTTGCGCGACCGACCAAGCGATGCAAGCGGCAGAATCACTCTCAGCCTCCAATCAATGACATCCTACAGGCGGGCAACCCATCGCCCCAGTACTACCGGTACTCGTGTCGTCTGGAATCATAGCGCAGCAGACATGGCATCAACCGAACAATAAAAGCCCCCGACCCCTGAACCATGGCGAAGAGGATCAGCAAGATCATCCAAGCGCATCTAATTACTACACTTGACCAATACAGCGAGTTTGTTTGCATACTATGTAATGCGGCTGGGTCTCTCCCTGATGGTTATTAGGCGCCTAAGTCTACCGCCTCGCTCCCAGCAGCCAACCCAGTCTGCGATCACGGCAGGAAACCCCGGCACACTGATATCAACAGCATTCACACTCACTCGAACTGACTTCATTGAATTTGATCATCGCGCCGACACTGCGTTCCGCCCCTTTACTACGCAACTGGCTACTATTCAACTCCATCCGCTCTCCCAACCCTCTCCGTGGCTAAACAACGCCTCCGCCAAATCATGAGCTACATTGGTTATGTTCAACCCCCCCAGCTGTGGCCCTGCTGCACCCAGAACTGGGAGCACGACCATCCGGCCAAATCTTCGTGGCCTCTTCTAGACGAATTACTGCCTAACTGGGGCTAAAGTCTCTCCGCCCGGGCCTCTGTCCATCTCTCGGCCAAGCTTGAGGAGAACGAATTGGCCGCCATGCGACAGGCTTCGCACGGTGTATCAAGTGCAGCACGACCTTGACACATGCCTCACAAAGTTCCCACTTCTGTTTTGGAAAGTAGGCAGCCATCATCGGGACGGCTCGACCTCACGTTCAGGCTGTCTGGAATCACAGGGCAAGAGGCCGTGGCCTCTGTTGAAGGCATCCCCGTGCCTCGGTTTGCCCCGCCATTCTTTCGCGTAAATGACTCGCAGAGTGACCCGATGTTTTGGTTTAGTCAATTGCTTTCTCTCTCTCTCTCTCTTTCTCCCCTCCCCCCTGGCCGAAGCATCGCTTGGGGTCAGCGTAGTGGGCACAAGAGGACTGCCAAAAGCAAAGATGCGCACATGTTTCGTCCGAACGGCTGGGGTTCACAACAACGTCGAGGATTCTGAATGGGTCAATGCTCATGCTGTCCCAAAACAGAGGGGGGCATGGTCGCACCAGCTGACAACGCTCGGGCTCGCGAAATTGTGGATCGAGCATTGCTGTTCGGTCCAGTGTCCCAAGCCAGTGAGGACGATGCCGAGTCTGTCGTGCCAATGCATATGGTCTGGCGTCCTCGGTACAGATGTCAAGAGCGATCGGTATTCCTCACATCGTTCGGCTTATCGTTATCATTAGCATTTGCATACGAGTAGTGAACCTGATCTCAGTAAGTAAATTTTGCGGGTGTATCATCTGGTAAGTAGAACAGATCGTCTCCCGAGAAGCTGTACTTGCTTGGTCATTGTCCGACACGGATACTAAACTCATGCATCTACAATGGAGGGAGCTGCTTAGCAGCTATCATCCGTTTCCAGGATGTCAGATATCCTTCCACTGTATCTATTTCTTCAGTGAACCCAACTTCACGAGACCGCGTCAAGTCCAACTCTCGGTCAAAGTCACACTGGACAAGCATGAACTCTAGAAAGGCCCAGTCAAAGTCCCCAACGGCACCCTCCTCGAGCCCGTGCTCCTTGGCCAGGTCTGACCAGGCGTCTTCGTGATCTATCATAAAGTCGCGGATCCGTCCTGAGCAGGCATCCGGCCCCTGGCCCGTGAGCCCGAAATAGTCACAGAGGCGCGGCCACTTCCGCGACCACGAGACGGCCTGCTCGCCCGCAGCATTGAAGGCGGCGCCGTCGCCGCAGCAGGAGCGCTCCGTCATTGCGTTCACGGCAGCGAATATCTCCATCCGAGACAACGCGTCCTGAAAGGTGTCGGTGTGGGTGGCGCGGTACCCGTGCTCCGTCCCCGGGAAGGCGACGACGGCACCGGCGCCGCGCACGGCCCGGTGGATAGCGAGGTAGAGGCCGATGCCCCTGGCCATGTTCATGGCGTTCGCCGTCGGGGCGAAGCCAACGATGGCGTCCGGGCGGACCTCGGAAAAGGTCCACGCCTTCCCGCGCGAGAGCCTGTCGAGCGCGTCGTATTGAGCGTAGTAGAAAACACCGTCGGCCCACGGTGCGGGGATCCGGGCAAGGTTTTCCTTCAACGGGGGTTGGATCTTGATTTCGTTGGGGTGCGTGACGCCGTATCTGGATGTCGGGCGTTAGTCTTAGAAATACGTGTCTTGGATGGTACGGGGCTCGGTACACTTTGCTACCCGTTTGCAAAATAATGACCTTCAAGTTCGGGGAGACCCTCTCGATGGCTTGGATTGCGACTACCAACAGGCTTGTATTCAGAGCTACATGATATTCAGGGGTTGTCCCTTTTGCGTATGCTACGCGGAGCTTAGTACCTCCACGTTGAGACGTGGTGAAGATATAGCGGATGTCTACTTACCTGCGTAAAAGACATGGGATATAGTCTCCGCATCCGGGATGCCTTGTCGCAACGACGCGGCCACTTCGTCCACGGACTTGGTGAAGTCGACCCCGGACGCGATGTGCAGGCGAGAATCGATTGGGAGATGCGTCTTCTCCAATGGCAGAGGACGATTCGTGGTGCCGGTGATACGTTTGAAGGTTTCCGGGGTGGGATAGCGGCAGGCTTGGTTCATGAGAGACCAGCCGGAGATTCCGGAGGCCCCGAGGATGAGTGCATGCGCCATGAGAAAAAGAATAAGCCTTGGATATTCATTCGCCCTTCTTTAACGCAAGGATAGGGAGGTTGCTGCGCGGTATCCAACTTATTTATACACGATCGACAGACGGCCTACGCGCGGGAGCGGCAGAGAAAATGCAGGGTCTCAGGTTGACTAAGTCGCGGAACATGGATTCCGTCGATAACGTTATGAGTGGCTGCTCTGCAACCATTGAAAAGGAGTAAAGATCTTCACACACGCCAGATGTACATCCGCTCAAGACAGGTGTAACAATATAGATGGAAAGCAGCCGAGCCTGGTGAACATGGCAAGGTCTCGCTGCATGCAATCGTGCTTGGCGATCCAGGCCAAGCATCTATCCCGGTTTATTGGTTGGCCAAGACTGCAGTGCGACCTTGGACTTGGGATGTGTTAGCTATTGCAGCTTTGCACCCACGAGGTTGTGAATTCACCATTCGGGCGCTGACAACCGCCTCGGGACTTCCGATGTGCCCGTAGAGTCGAGCAATGCCAGCATCAAGGGATCTCTCGGTGTGAACTTGGCTTCTTTCAATGTTCGTGTGTATTGGCGGGAATGGCCACCCTTATGTTTAAACCGCTCCGAGTTCACGCCCGACCAAAACTCCAGGTGCATCAACGTAACATTGCTCTGGTTGCCTTGTTGCCAACCCACAATTGAGATATCTTGGAGAAGCTATCGACACACAGGCTACGGACTACCGCTCGCCCTCAAGTATGGACATATCACGGGATTAGGGTGACCACCTCGCGGCGCACAAGGCACTGCCCTTCAAGGTGCTCTAATCCAAGGCACACGGAAACTTACCGGAGATGCCTGCGGCGATCTTGACGGAGTTAGTCTCCACCTTCCACCAAGACCTGAGGACCTTGCGAGATGGCCTACGAATGGCTATATAAGAACGGCTAATTTCTCGCAAAGCGTCTGCCTGCTTCCAAACATCCACCCCCCAGAGCGTCGAGAAGCTCCAGGGAAAAAAACCGATTTGACCTGTCAAGAAGAACACAGAACTGCCAAAACGGCATCTATTCTATTTGACGAACCATCTAATATCAATCCCTTCTACTCATCCTACTTTGCTTAATCGCCACCATGAAACTACGTTTTCAAACCAAAGCCTCACAACCCATCACCACCACTATACTTCCACCTGAGCTTCGACTTATGATTCTAGAAGAGCTAGCTTCCCATGATGAAAAACATCATATGGCCAGTTGGGCTAGTGTTTCGAAAGAATGGCAAAGCTTTTTTGAGCCGTTACTCTGGCAAACATTAACCTTTCGACCCTCGATTTCCAGATCAGGCTTTCTGGGCTTCCATCGGTTTATCAAAGGTTACCGAAAGTCTTTGGTCAAAAAGATTCGACTTCATGTAAGGATGGAGGAATACGCTTGCGAACAATGCGATCGACTTGGAGGTCCGGACAGAAACATTCGAATTCTGAAGAGGAATAAGACGAGGTTCTCTGCCAGCCTAGAATACCTTTTCCATTTCCTTGCTGATTGGACCGGGGAAACTTCAGGAACTGGGATTACGCTTGAACTGGGAGCTATCTGGACCAGTGGCAGTCATTGTCTTCACAGTCAGTCCCCCAGGTACTCGCCGACCAGTCCCTGGTTGCGAAGTCTCAGCAAACTTTGCCTCGACAGATGGATCCCCCTTCCGAAGGCCCCTATCATTACTGGATTATCCTTCGACCAAACCCTTCGTCAGAGCATTTCTGCTTCATTAATACTTAGTATGTTGGAGAGCTTACCATGTCTCAAACAAGCTAACTATGAGTCGCAACTTATAATTGAGCAACTTGCACCATATATATCAGAGGCACAAAAATCAATCCTATTCCAGTAACTAAATAGAAAGAGTGAAACATAGCGAATAGCCACATAAGAACATCAATCTTCAAGGATATATAAAGACTGAATTGAATATTGTCTAAGGTAGTAAAAGATAAACTCCTTATCAGAAACTAATAATTTCTTATGCAATGAATGCAAAGAAGTATTCGGACGAACCTCCCCAGCCTAACCGAGCGCCTGTTTTCAGCTTTGTGCCTTCTCGTACCTACCTATCGTCTTCTATGTCCTCATGATTACAAAAAGCCCTACGCACATGCATTGTCGTTGACCCTCCTAGAAATGGTCCACGTCTGCGCGTGTACTATCCTGGAAGATAGACCGACCCACGTGAACCAATATATTTCTCTTTCAAGCTCAATGATCCCAATAATAGTACCTTGCCGAGTATTAAATCACTAGTGAGGTCCTCGTTCGAAACCAGGGATGTCCCATAATTTGGCCATCTACCTGTCTTGAATATTTAGATAACTCGTACCTCAACCTCAATGCAGGAAAAAAGACTCCACGCAGTCAACGTACTATGGGAAAGACGTAGTTGAACCGACCGCTGTCTCTCCGACGTGTTATTGGTTTTTTTTTTGGAATTCTGAAAGCTCCCACTGCTTTCTAGAATTATAGCTATTCAATAGAGAAGGCAGGGGCAAGGGCATGGCGATAACCTTAATCCACTTCGACGATATGCTGTTAACGCGGCACTCTTATGCTGGTATGTGCGTTCAAAGGTCTCACGCGCCAGGTTAGCTGTACGGCCGCGAGGAAGAGAATCCGGATGGTGGGGATTAGATTCGACCTGGTTGGGGGTTTGTCGGGCTGAAACTCGTCTTATTGTCGTTGGCGACCGTTTCCGGGATCCGGGAGACAAAAAAGACAGGGGATGCATCGTGCCTAGGTGCGAGATAAAGATTCGTATCTTGCCTTTTAGCGGTAGCTCTTGCAAAAGCCTTACTTAGGTATGTTATTTTTCACGCGTTCAAAACTCAGGGTGTTGTTATGGTTCTTGCTTGGCCTGCTCTTCTTATTATCTTGCAAACTCCAGCTACTAATCTCGTCATTGGAGTCTCCATAGTCACTTAGAGGATTCAGACATGAATCGATGATGAGGTTTCTACAGTTACGGCGCATAACTACGTCTTCTCTGGCTCAAATAGAATATCAATCGTGTCACTTCTAGCTTTCTATTTCTTTTCTCTTGGTTTTCCTTTTTGTCGATACTAACCGGTAGAGTTACTGGGAAATAGGAGACGAGAGATAACCCGAAAGGCACGTAATTCGATCGACGGCGTATGCCCCCCCTGCCTCAAAAAGGGGAAAGTAAAAGCCGTAGTCAATTTTGACCTTTTGCATGCCCTACGCCCTAGGATCTACAGACTAGTATTCCATGTGTCTGTTCCCACGTTCATGGAATGACCACAGACTATTCCCCGAGGTTTATAGCTCGTCGGGGTCTGTTTTCCCAGGAACAAGAAGCTACCTGGCTTTTTAAAAGATTGCGGGATATAGTCTAGTTGCTTTGTCACTCCCGTGATAGATTATTGAAAGAATAGGTGATCGGACAACGCTCTTCGACGAATGGTCCATTCCTTATCGGCGGGGGTGGAACTGAATCCCGCCGTTCGCCATACCTCCCATGCTAATCGTGACATTTACTCCCAGGGTTACGTGCATACATATATGCATAGTAAGCTTTGCGCGTCTATAAGTACTCTATCTCCAGCTAGGATTCCACTGATTCAGTAGCAATATCTGTACGGCGGACAAAACGTAAGTGCTGACTTGCCGATCACCGGCCAAACAAGAACTTGGCAGCGTGCCAGTGGCGTCAGTGATAACGCCCGCATTCCGTTCTTCCAAGGTGCATCACATAGCAGTGAGATCACCACCCCGGCCCATATGCTGTGATTCTGAAAGACCATGGCTGCGACCCTCCAACCTTCACAGCATCCATGTACCGAGATCCACCTCTCACCCGATGTCCTCTCTCCTCTCTTTCTCCTATTCGCTTCCCAGGAAGCAACACTAGCTGGTCCACACAACGCGATGTTCGAACGAACCAGATCACTCATCCTGACACTTCACTCCGTCCCCAATCCCACCGGAACAGGCCCTGGTGTTGCTAGCCCCAGGCTAGCCCCAGCAGTTTCCATTCCCTCGGGTCTTGGCACGCGGGGTTCCCAATGGGCCCCCATTTCCCCAATCTCGGCGGTCTCCAGTTGCAGCGGCTGACCAACCCCTCCTCCATACGGAGAGCTTGACTGACTCTGGTCCGAACTCTGTCCGAATTTGTTGCTTATCCCTTGGAACGCTTGTCTGCTTGACACCCTCTGCTATTGCCTTTGAATCTTTTCCACCGACCGCCTCTTCGGTGCTCGGCTTTCAAATATGGCTCCGGATGCCCGGTGTCCCTTTTCCAGTCTGACGCTTTTTGACTTGGCTGACTGTGCTATTGTGCAACCCTTTTCCTTCCCCAGACTTTCAGTCAACTCACCGGATCCCAGATGTTGACCCGGAGTCCCAGGCACCCCAGATTCGCCACTTACGCCTTTCTCCGTGGGGTAAAAGAGAATGGAGGGGTCTAGAAACGATGATAAATAGCAGAAGCCCTGCTGGTTGTTCAGGAGTCGATGCGTACCACACCTTGGATGGTTTAATACTGAGATTTTCGTCCTAGTTTATGCTTAATCCTGTTAGACGACATATTTTCCCCACAGTAGTCTTAAACCAGCCTGACCCTGCCGATCCTTCCCGGGCGATTCCAAGCCCTTTTTTCTTTTTTTCTTTTCTTTTTGCAAAACAGACAACCCGGCCTGAGCACGAACAGCGACCGAAACGTCAAAAAAAAAAAAAATGGCAGCGAGCGAGAAGCGTTCGCCGTCGGTGGAGCGCGAAGAGCATACCATCAACCACGTCGACAGCGTGCTCCAGGACGAGAAGCCCGTTGCCCAGGATGAGGAGAACCGCGACTGGACCGGGTCCGCGAAGAAGACCGACCCCGAAGAGATCAAACTCGTTCGGAAGTTAGATTGGCGGATAATGGTGAGTTGAGGAACCAGGACCGTGGAGTATTCCCTTTTGCGAAAAGAGTTACTGACAAACCTTCTATCTACTAGCCGACACTCTGCGTCATGTATTTCCTGAGTACGGCTCTCACAGCTCTATTACACCATATCGTTCGAGGGCACCGAGACTAACAAGCCAATCAGACTATGTAGATCGTAACGCCATCGCCCAAGCCCGACTTGATGATCTAGAGGAGGATTTGGGTATGTCCGGCACACAGTTCAACACTACAGTTTCAATGTAAGCAGACATGGTACTATTGAGCTGCCCCGCTGCTTGTTTGTTTCCACTGTCATCGACTATGCTCAAGGATGTATTCATCCTGCCATGTCGAGAATAAACTTGGAAAACTGAAGCCAAGAGCCAAATCCTTTGCGTTGGAGACGCCATGGCTAACGGTTGCACACAGCCTCTTCGTTGGCTACGTCCTCATGCAGATTCCTTCCAATATGTTGATCACCAGAATCCAGCCAGGCCTGTACATGAGTGCATGGATGTTTATCTGGGCTGTGGTCTCTGGTATGTCCTACAAGCAGACAAGCTGGGATCAAAAGCTCATGGTTGATAGGTTGCACGGCTCTGGTCCAGAACTATGGAGGCCTTGTTGCTTGCCGCTTCTTCTTGGGTATCACTGAGGCTCCTGTAAGTCAAACCATCCAAGAGACACATCTGCTGTGGCCCCGGCTAACATGGACCAGTTCTATCCCGGCGCCACCTATATGCTGTCAATCTTCTACACCCGCAAAGGTCAGTTAGCCGCTCCTTCCACGTCTCCGTTTTGCCCCGACTAACACGGCTTGCAGAGGTCGCGTCCCGCATCGCTGTTCTCTACTGCGCGCAGATTCTCGCCACCGGTCTCTCCTCCCTCATCGCTGCCGGTATATTCGCTGGCATGGGCGGTCTCAACGGCATCGCCGGGTGGCGCTGGTTGTTCATAGTCGAAGGTGCCGCCACCGGCGTCGTCGCCATCTTCGGCTTCTGGCTCCTCCCCAACACGCCCCTGACGACGCGCTGGCTGAGCGAGCGGGAGCGCGAGCTCGCCCACTCCCGCATGGAGAAGGACAAGTTGTCGGACTCGGACAGCAACAAGGCCTCGGCCATGGACGGCCTCAAGCAGGCGGTCCGCGACAAGCGCACCTGGCTGTTTTGCCTCATGCAGAACTTCCACCTCAGCGCCTGCTCGTTCAACTCTTTCTTCCCCACGTGAGTTGAGCAGCGTCATAATATCACCTGTGATCTGTAACCGAAGCTGACACGGGGTAACAGTGTCGTCAAGACCCTCGGCTTCAGCACTACAGTCACTCTACTGATGACCTGCCCGCCCTTCATCTTCGCAGGTGCTGCTGGCATCTTCTTCGGCTGGAGCTCCGGCAGACTCCACGAGAGGACATGGCACATCACCGCCGGTCTGGGCATTGCTATCGTTGGTTTCATCATGGCTTCCTCGACACTGAATACGGCGGCTAGGTACATTGCATGCTTCATCTTCGCTATGGGCGCCTACTCTGTGAACAGCGTGAGTGCCCTCGCAATCCTGGCCAGTGGCGTTGACTCTTTTGTAACTAACTTATCTGCTAGGTTATCATTGGCTGGGCCTCATCGACTCTCTCGCAGACCAAGGAGAAGAAGGCAGTTGTTCTTGCCATGACTAATGTCGGGGGACAGGTATGCTCAAAGACATGTTTCATTCACCTGGCGCCACGCTGCTAACACCCATTCTCCAGATCGGCTACATCTACGGCGCGTACCTGTGGCCCAGCACTGACTCGCCTCGCTACGCCATTGGCTTTGGCGCTTCAGCCGGCTTCGCGCTGCTCTCCATCATGTGCGCGTGGTGGATCCGTGTCTTGCTCGTCAGAGAGAACCGGAGGATTCGGGCGTCTACTTCGGAACAGGTCAACTTGTACGGGTACTAAGAGGCTGCTGGACAAGCTTGGTCTATTGCGCGTGGTCTCAGAAAGAAAAGAGGGAAACATGTGGTCCGGACAGCGGAAAGGCTGATGAAAAGGCACGGTACTGCC